TCTAGTCCCCTTCACTATTCCTTTCCAGACTCTTGAAAAAAGATTACACTGCGTTTCTTAGGTACTCGATACCTGCATGTTAGGTTAGTGGTTTATCTTCCGAATTTATTATGGGAATAACAATGAGAACAGTCATCCGAAATCTTGGGTGAAACTATCAAGTGTTATTTTATCAAATATAAATAATCTATTCTATTCATAACTTTCTACTCGTCTGTCTTCTATGATACAAGTACATTAGAATTCATACTGATGCATCGAAATCAAAAAGCTCAAATTTCCTATTGAACAAACGCATTAACTAATTACTTTCAAATTTTCTAACATATATACTCCAATATTAGTGATGACATATGCTCCATTGGGAGTAGCAGGCGTAAGTAAGTAGGTAAGCAATATTAGTGAAAACTCGAAGTAAGCTGTTCAAATATTGCAATAAAGAAACAATGTGTACTAGACTCGAGTTTTAGTGTGAACATCAACACAGATGTCGTTATATTCAGTCAACAAATTCTAAAATAGGACGAAATGGGCATTTCAGATTCTGATGCTAGTAAAAAATTCAACTCTACCAAAATTTGTGATCTCATTTCACTATTTAAACGATCCGTTCAGCATGCATACATACTAACCGAGAATGAACATATTAAATCTAAGAGATCGATGACAGGAAATTACAAACCCTTGCTGAAGTAACAACGATGTTTGAAGTATATAATAAGTTCATTGGGTATTTCAATGGTTTCTCCTAAAGCACATGCGAGTTATTAAGTGTAATTCATTTAAAATAATCAAATACATTTTATTGCAATATGTCGATTGTTCAATAGTGAAAAGTAAATTGTTCTAAAGAAAATTTTTTCAATAAAACCAAGATTCGATAACAATATTTGGGGTTGTAGTTCCAGAATACTGAAGATCATAATCTTATTAAAAACTCAAACAGTTAGTCGGACTATGTTAGAAATGCCTAAATATAACTCAATAAAAGATGTTACAGTCAAGGAGACGGAGTGTCTATGTGGAGCCCTTAGGAACCTGGTCGTGGTAGTATATTCGTTGAAAATCTCAAGAGAACAAAATTCCTGACTGCTATCTAGGAGACTATATTTTATCTAACCTATAACGATAAAAATCGTGCTAATAAACTGTTTAAAAATTTCTACAATTCATATCTTAATATCACATTCAAAATGCACATGGAAGAAATGACACATTTCATTGCCTAAATTTAGGTATCTTTGAAAGAAATGATTGAACCTGTCAAATGTATATATATCAGTTGACAACATCATCTTTTATTGAGTTAGATTTAAGCATTTTTAACACAACCTAACTAACTGTTTGAGTCCTTCAATGTTCTTAAAAATATTTATCCTATTACGTAGTAACACCATGTTCTTCAGTGTTTTAAAACTTACTTACTTACGCCTGTTACTCCCAAATGGAGCATAGACCCCCGACCAGAATTCCCCAACCCACTCTGTCCTGGGCCTTTCTTTCTAGTTCTATCCAGTTTTTGTTCATTTTTCTCATGTCTGTCTCCATTTTCCGACTTAATGTGCTCTTTGGTCTTCCTCTTTTCCTTTGATCTTGAGGATTCCGTGTGAACTATCCAATTTGATCTCATTTTAGTTTACAAATCAAAAATCTTAATAGAAGTGAAAGCTTCAACAACTTAAAATGAATAGAATGATTATTGATTACACTTTAATCTTCAAGAGGTATATCCTGGAGTTATAGTGAGAAGCAGTGACCAGTAGAGTTCAACTGGGTATGTTGTGAGATAGTAAATCATTGATGACAGTGGTGGATACGTCGCTCAATTTCGTGGATTGGTTGAAGTTGGGCATTAACTCCATTTGTGCCGGCTTAGTGGTCTAGTGGTTAAGCGCTCACGCGCGAGACTGATAGGTCCTGGGTTCGAATATCTAGAAGCGAGGTCGTGGATGCGCCCTGCTGAGGAGTCCTATACTAGGACGAAACGGCCGTTCAGTGTTACCAGGTTTTCCATAGTGGTCTAGCTTCAATCGACTGATGATTTCAACTATTGAAATTACCAAAATCTCCACAAAACCTCTTCCTATATTTTAAATGAATTACACACTTAATAACGTGTCTATACAGATGGGAAGAATTTTTTGAAAAAACCTGTTTTTTTTATTTTGAAAATTTTAGTTCCATTGGCCATTTTGGAGAATAAATACTCATTCGGATTTGAATGCTTTAAATCACGCTTTGGATTTAGGATACTTATAATTTAATAATCTTATGTGCAGTATTCATTTTTGATTTTTGCTCTTGCATTATTATTATTAGTAGTATATTTCGTATAATATAAATTAAAACAACTTACGTTTTTATTTTAGAAAATAAAGTACCTATCTTTAACAAATCTAACATGTACATATTTCATCTTAGATATACAACATTATTATTAATTACTTGATTCATTTCTCAGCGTTTGTTTTGTAATAAATACTGAATCTATCAATTAACACATTATTAATTCTGTGGGTTTTCTTTTAAAGTATACCCCAACCAATGCGAAAAACACAGGTAACGTATTGTGGATATCTAAATTCGATAGAATTTAGTGGCATGAATAACACGCTTCAATATTATTGCATGCCAATATTTCATAAACATTCAATCGATTATGAACAACAAAGACGATAGATCTGGAGCAGATAGCATACTCATTCAAGGACAGATGTAAGAGAAGAGATTATTTAGCTGATATTTAAAAGCGGTACATGTTAATGATAAGATACCGAAATGATTCTGATGCTAAACTGGTTTAGCGAACCTAGTTCATTAAAACTGAGTTGATCAACACCATATGTTGAACCAATATATAATTACAAGATAAATGGGACAAATACTGATTGAAAGTAAATAAGCTAATTCAGTATTTTTTCATATTTCCAACTTTTGATGAGTGAGAATAACTGACAACCTCAAATATCTGACCTAAAAAGTTCGTATTGGTGGGCTATTTCTTTTCGTAAAACATTGTGATAGTTTCCTATTGAAATAATCTTAAAATATAACGCCCTAAGATTAAGTGACAGCTGTGAATAAACATAGAATGTCCTCATTTATCTCAGTCAACAGGTATTTACAGAGTCAGCGACTGATTCCTTGTAGACATATATATGCCTGAAAGATGAAAACAGTTCGTTGGCTTCACAAACAAAATTAATTAACTAGCCATTCATGTTTGCTGTAAACCATTTTCGATTAGTTTAAATGTTGCAACTTATTCACTTACTAGCTGATTCTTATTCGTCAAATGTTGCGGTATAACATATTAATAATTTTAAATAGAATTTATGGGTATAATATTTATTAAAATGAACCGCCCAATAATGAAAACCATAGATAAAGACAGACTGGTTAGAATTCGCCACATCTATGTGTATTTAACAAATCAACTGCTCCTGTGGAGCCAGTTGTGTAAGACATGCAATTCGACAAGTCCTTCATTTCAGAGCAGAGCACTATTAGTCTTGGTTGAGGAAAGGATATGTAAGAGTTCTATTCCCGCTCACTTGGTGGACACAGGACGTCAAGTTGACTTGAATAAAGCTTTTAAGATTATCTATAATATCCCATCAAATCTACCACATGATTTATGAGTTTGTCTGCTGCATATTGCTGAAGCTATCGGAATTCATGTTCAAAAACCTAACATTTACATCCGAAAGAAGTTTTTATAACCATTCTCACTTCCTTGGTCATCGGTTTTCAGCTGAGCTTTCATTAACTCCTTTCTTTCAAAAATACTCAAACAATTTTCCAATTTATCACCTTTAAAGATTGCGAAGTATCGACCTAATGTTCTGTATACAAGAGGTGTTTAGTGATTGCACTGTTTAAAGTAGTTGTCTCTCTTGTTTGAAAAATCTAAGATATGAGCTCCTTTCTGTCCGGCCAATATAGCTACTTTAGCAGGCACACGTAAATTTATAAAAACAGCTGGCAGTAACATGAAAGAGGTACTTGTCGATCTTTGATAGGGTTATTGAACATGTTGTTTTACACAGTAATAGTTTGGCTGCCCAGTAAGATCTGGCTAATGCAGTGTTAAGTCTCCTGCTGAATGTGCTTGCGACGTCATCACAATTAAAGTTGAAATTCATAGATGCTGGTTTTTTGACTGCAGCCACACCCATCTTATTTTCTTTAGATTTTTTATATTTATCGATAAATTTCTATGGGAAGTAGTTGTTTTTAGGGAGTTTTTCCACGTCTATCAATTCTTTCAGTTTGTCGGTGTTACATATCCTTTTCTACTATACAAAATAGTTTTAACCAATGCTTTCTTGTGACTGATTGAACGGAAATTATTGAAATTCAGGTAAAGACCGTTCCAAGTACGTTTTCGATAAACTGAATGTTGAACTGTCATTTCGCGCCCCCGTTATATAGGAATGTCAAGAATGTACACACCGTTAACAAGTCATAATTGTACGGTGTTGTAACAATTCTGTTATTTTACTTCATAGATAAAGTAAATAATTCAAAAGAAGATAGTAGTATCTCCTTATATTTCACAAAATAATGATAATAATAGTAATGTAAGGAATTCGATCACGGCTATTATAATTCCAAGATCTACAACAAACACTAGTTTCACGAGTTTATATATTCTTGAATGGTATAAACTGGTGACAACTTATATCGTGTTAACTGGTCCAATGACTGAACGCAACTAATAAATATACGCCAGCAAATACAGTACGTTTCGTGAACCACATAGAATTGTGAATGTATACTGAGTGATTTCGACAGCTTAAAGTAATTTTACCACATTGTAATTAAGGGAACTCGCTAAAAAGACTATAACAGTAATTATAGTTCCCTACTATCCAAATTAATCAATCCGGTTTCTATTAGAAACGGTTGACAAGGTAACGTACAGCAAATCCCACAACATATATATATATATATATATATATATATATATATATATATATATATATAAGATTTGAGTTATTAAATATGAAATTCACTGGGAATAACGTCTACTTGTTACTTTTAAGCATCATTCTCTTCGAACGTGGAACTGTGGACGGTTCAAATACTACTACACAAAATGTAACTGCTAGTTTAACAAACATAGTTTTCAAATGCCAAATTAAAGATCAATACTGCAAAACGGTTACGAATAATCAATTAGATAAAACCGAACTAACTACATTATGGAGAGTACTTCACGAGATACAAAAAATTCTAACCGGTTTCCATTGCTATCAAGCAGCTTAGCTTAAAGGTATATAATATTTATAAATGTATTATTGAACAAAATTATTTATAGTTATCTGGTTGGTTTATAAAAATATTGTTGCAACACACTTTTGTAGCATATTTTGGGAAAAAAGAAAACGATTTTTGAAATGATATAAATATACTTTTTTTAGTGCTAACCGTCAATATATTTGATGTTGTAAGCAGTTTCGATCTGATGATAGTAAAACTGGTCATTGATGTTTATTGTAAATTTGCGTTGCTCTGAAATGGTAATTTGATGCGTTTCTGACAAACTTATTATCCTACCTCTCCATTACTGGTATCTAATGAGTTTGACAGAGAGTTTATTTGTTGATAAAATTGACCTTTTAGGTCTATGTATAACACCAATAGTTTTTGTAATGCCATGTATAACAATATCAGTATATATGTCGTGACTTTATGCCCGTCCACTTGAGTCCAGAACACCAGTACCAGCTTCCACTATGCGAATCGAATCATTTATTTCAAACATACTGTGTTTATATATCAACCAAACAGACCGCAACGCACCATAAAATAGGAAACAACATTTGTACACAATAAAGCCAAAAAGTGACTGTAAAAGTGGGAGGCAGCAGTTAATAAACTGAACGTAGCTTAAGATGCGTAAATCTTACAATAATAAATAATAGGTCAAAATAAAGCTTATAATAAGAGGAATATAAATATACATAATCTAATTATTGAATAGTTACACCATAAGAATACAGAGATAATATTAGTCAATTAATATGTCTCAGGAGTTACTCGTGATTTAATCTCTGCTCGGATATAACAATATAGACAGGATTTTTGTTGCTTAAATTTAGGTTTTAATCAAGGAGATGCACTAACAGTGTGCAGGTGTCAGTGATCTTTCTAGATTAAAGACTTATGATAAACATTGGGAATTTGAACTGGCTTGCAGCTTAATGAACTCATGTACCCGAGTAACCATATCAGCACCGTTGTTATTACGGATCACTAGCTTCATATATTGATCATAGGTACTGAAAATAGAACAAAGGTCACCGAAAGGTTGACAGATGGACGTTTGTACGAGTTTCCTATCGCGTGGGTTTCGTGGTAAGATGACAGTGGAGCCTTTTTGATCTCCCTTATGTTAATTTCAAAACACGAATCTTTCTGGTTTAGATTAGCGTTGGAGCGGTCGTCATAGAAACGGAACCAAGTGTCAAACTTGGTATTGCCCAAAGGATTATAAACTCGGCAATGTTGTCAAACAGTGCCAGAGCATTTGCTTGAGGAAACACTTTTTCAGCATTCCATAGTGCACACTCTTGATGTGGTATGAATATTCCAGTTCAAATAAGTGTTCGTAGGGACGTGACAGTTTAGGCGTGAGCGGACGAGATCAAAAATACTCTTGTTCGATCCACAGATGAACACTGTCGACGAGACATATACAAGGACGAAGCAGTTGTCCAGGTTTTCAATGGTTATCTAACGTTTATCAGTTAGTGACCAGAACAGGGTTCCATCCTTATTATTGAAGCAGAGGATGATAAGAATTGTATATGAATCCTCATCAGACAAATGTCGTTGAGTTTCTTGACTTTCACAACAGATCAGATACGTTCAAGTACCGGGGTAACATCTCCTAACTCCAAATTTAATATAGTAGACCGCACTATTTCAACTCAGCCCTCTAATTAGAGTGAGAAGTGCAATTTTCTAATGAAAGCTTTATTGATGATGACCCTAGAACTAAAAATACATTTCAAATTAATCTGTTATGTATCAATCAATGATTAAGACAGATGGACAGTGGTTTTTACTAAATATAATCATAGTAAATTAATGTAACAGAAATGTGCTGAAGATTGACCTTAGACCCACCTCAATATCGGTTTCCTTCCTAATAAGTCGTATTTAGGGACTCCATATCCACAAGAGGACCATAGACCTGGATATCAGACTATGACAGTTGCCCCGGCAACTAAACAAAATACAGTCAACCAATGGTCTCAGTGAAGATCACAAAAGGAACAACCATAAATAAAACCTAAGCAACTATCATGATTCATAATTACACATGGATGAAAATACCTGGTTGACCGTTCACCACCAACAACTTCGAAGTAACTCATCTGGAGTGTGAGTGACATACAAAGCCAACTTTCTTAATCCCACGTGACACGTAACCAAATATAGAAAAGTTACATAACGTAGTTAGTTATTTCTGTTGGTTATGAATTGTTGATTTCATGACATTGTAGACATGCGACCACATAGTAAGTTATTAATTAAGGTCTAGTACAGTACAGTCCGATCTATAGAGAGCTGATTGTTAGTCAATGTAAATAACTCCTAAGCATGAGTGGATCCAGGCATTTTATTGGGTGTAAAATAAACCCTCATTTAGCATCTTAATTAGATAACCCGATACACAGTCCTCCTGTCAAAGTACCACGACTTTCGTTGTATATAATTATTTGCGAAAAGATAGTACAGAAATGAGGCTTGCTCGTGGAGGAATTCCAATGTCGTACGTGAAACCTGGAAAACAACTACGAAAGCATATCTGCTCGAAACCCAATCAGTTAGACAGGACTTTCTTTTCTAAACTAAAAATATTCAGGTCAGGTACTTAGAGAGAGGGTATTTCGACTAGCTATGAAGCCAAAGGCTTTAATCAAATAATAACCTTAGTATCAAATCTCGCTACAACACATAGAGCAGTTAAATTTTGAGATTTATAACAACAAATCTGATAAGGTTTAGAAAATATCTGTGAACTTGACCACATCAAAAATATTAACTTCTTTTTCTTCTGACAATTGTAATGAACTCAGATATGATGAATGTGGAGCGTATTTATGTCACTTCCACGTCATACAGCGTTGATAAATGGGAGCTAAAGCATCATATTTATCCAACTGTTTATCGAGCAAGAAATACAATCATGAATAATTGAAAATCAATTAATGGTTAGTTAACTAGACGCCTTGCTACTCTAATAAACGTACAGCAAAATAAACAACAGAAGCATAGTTATAAGATGTATATTTAATACAGCGTAAAACGCCTCATAAAGCTGGAATGGACATTCTACCATTTGATGTGGATCGTAACAGTTTACAGAAGTGAAACCATATACAAAAAACAGAAATAAATTATACACCAGGTCACGCGGAAGAAAACCTAACGCCTTGACGCACGACCAGCTGATCTTGAACGGCGACGTCGACTCTTGGACGGTGAATGAGAACGTGATCGACGTCTTCTCCCATAACGTTTCTTGCTCCGATTGTACAATTTACGACAAAGTTCTCTGGAAATGGGTTTCAAATGCATGAAGTTGCAGAAGCCACCCCTTGTACATTCCCTATAAGAAATTGAGACGGAAACACAACCTTATGATTAGTAATTTGATTCAGCAAACTAGGAGTTCGGCAAAATACACAATCCAAGTGCAAACATAGATAGAAAGGGTCATGATGTGGACAATGTTACTAACTTATAATCAAATAAACCATCCCACATTATTTGTGATCGCCCAAATAAAAATTGTCATTCACGTTGGTGTTAGTTAGTTATGATCAGCATGGAACGTCAAGACAATTGCACCAGCTAGTTATTGCTGCCCCCCGAATGCCCTGGCATGGCAGAGAGTGGGGAGAGTCCGTTCTCCCTCTCGAAGTGCTCTCACATAGTCACGCGTATATAGCCTCTGCCAGGGAAGTCCTACTGTTAGCGGGACATAGACTAGACCAAAGCATGCTCAATGCATGATTGCTTTGGTGCACGCTGATTGGCTAATTCTTATCCAATCAGCGCTAGTCGATAGTTGGAGAATATTCTGGATTCTTCTTATGTAAAAACTATAAATATACCGACGTTTTCCCCTATTGTGCTTCCTACTGGCTTCTGACTTCCATCTAACCTTGTTATTTGGAATATAATCTCTTCCTGTTCAACCGTGTTCTGATTTGGGGACTTGTCGAGTGAATCGGTGTCCGAGAATACTAAGCAATAGGAATAGCTGGGTCATTAACCGTAAGAAACCAGAGATTATAACAGTGGCGACGGGGAAAAACTAAAGAAAAATGGCGATTTCTTTAGAACAGTTGCGGTTAATATTACAGCACCAGCAGAAGTTGTTAGCCTTGCAACAACAACTATTGAACACACTTTTCACTCGACCAGAAAATAAATCTGTTTATGATGCAGTAACAGACATTTCAGAAGCATATCTAGTGGAGGGTTCAAATCCCTTTATACCTGAATCACAACGTAATATTTGTAACGTGTCCGGCTCACAGCAAGAAAATACTGTGCTGAATGCACATGAAGTTGTGACAATACCAGATGATCAGGAGCCAGGTCCTGTAGATGAAGCCCGGAGTCCAGAATCAAATGAAACACTACTGGTACTGTCTAGCTGCGAAAATAAACGTCAGCTCGAACAAAATTGTGGTCCACGTGCTATTAGTCGAGAAAGCTATGGTGACTCGTATTCAGAAAATAACCGGAGCAACACGATGAACCAAATTGTACCAGATGTTACTCAAAATCACCGGAAGACAGAATTTTATATTGAGTCAACTTATCCCATTTCTAATGACAGTGTACCAGATATTGATTCTCAGAATAATGCATATGATTTTGATGAACCTTCTTATAACAATGAGGGAAATATGTCAGCTGAGTCGAATGATGGCCAAAAATCTAATCTAATTCTGTTAGACGTTGACTTTCTTAATGACTCGTTATCAGCTAACGAGATTCATAATGAATTTGAAAATAATGAACTCAGATCAAAGGTTGTTCATCATCATCTAGTCATTTTTAGTGGATTCTCCAGTCAATACGAGAAACATGGTTTAAATAAAGTCCTACTAGTTATAATTTGGAGCCATAAGGACCCAACATTATTTCGAGGAGGAGGAGAATGTTGGAGAATTAAAAGTTATGCATACTTTTTTTAAGAAAAATCAAAACGCCGGGAACAGACATGTCAGTCTCTGTGCAAGGAATAAGTGATAATTCTTCATTGCCTAGACGATGGACTAATCGAAAGCACAAGCCAGTCACTCAGTTGCAGTTGGACCCTAGCACCAGATCCTACGAATCTGCTCAGAGGGGAGGTGTTAGCGGGACATAGACTAGACCAAAGCATGCTCAATGCATGATTGCTTTGGTGCACGCTGATTGGCTAATTCTTATCCAATCAGCGCTAGTCGATAGTTGGAGAATATTCTGGATTCTTCTTATGTAAAAACTATAAATATACCGACGTTTTCCCCTATTGTGCTTCCTACTGGCTTCTGACTTCCATCTAACCTTGTTATTTGGAATATAATCTCTTCCTGTTCAACCGTGTTCTGATTTGGGGACTCTGTCGAGTGAATCGGTGTCCGAGAATACTAAGCAATAGGAATAGCTGGGTCATTAACCGTAAGAAACCAGAGATTATAACACCTACTCATTGACTTCTCGTGGCGGGGTGTTGTTTACCAAATTGAGAGGACGAAAAGCGAATGTCCGGCGCTCTAACCGGGTTGGTGGACATGGAGAGTTCACCTAGGGAAGTTGGCAAACCCTGATTCCAAACCAATGGTGCACATGGGCTCCAGTATCCTGAAGGAACAAATGGCGTATGAACCAACCGTTGGTCACCAGCTACCATGGGACTGCATCTCCTTACGATGCTCCACTGACTTGTGGATCAGACCTTCAGGTCGAAGGCTCCGGGTGTGGTCCCCTGAGAAAACCACCTGCCTCGGTTTGAGCACCCGGGCAGTATCACAGCCCTCACACATATCAAATGAGATTTGTGTGGCGCATATGTATTTGGTGTCTCCTTGTACTAATATCTATGTGTTAGAATAAATAAATAAAGTTATTGCTAACATGCAATGAGAATTTTGTAGATCAAACACGACTTAGACAATTTCTAGCCAGATGAAGACAGTTGCTATAAAAAAGGCAACTAGACCCAACCTTTTACGTTTAATCAAAAGAAGCATAGTAAGTCAAAAACGACTACAGCCTGTGAACCACATGAAAAACATAAGTATAACTACCGGTTAAATCGACTTGAATAAAATGCATTGAACATCATTATTCAGTTAGTTAGCTACAACGTAGGACCAGGCACATATATGCATCGGTTAAAGTTGCCATACCGCATTATCACAGCAAGATGAACACCGGATTTATAGGAGTGGTTAAGTCAGTGGTGGTAATATATAAAAGAAAGACTGTATGTAAGGATATAGTACAGGAAGAAAGAATTAGTTGGTAGAAAGAAAGATATGAAGCGACTTTAATCTCTTAGTTTAAGGGAAGACAGAGAGTGTATACACCGACGACATTGTGATCGATTCTTAGTCACGTCACCCAGAGTCTCCAACTATTGGTTAAGATAGTCACGCGGACCCCAACCAAGTAGTGTACATCTACCAACATGATTCAGAGTAGAGTTTAGTGACTTCAAGCACTGATGCCACGTTTTGGTTTAGCCGCCCCTAACTTTCTTCCAACTATCTACACCGGATAGCATTGCACGTCGTGGTAGTCGGTGTTCAGGCATACGTAACACGTGGCCCAACCATCTCAGTCGATGAAGATTCATAACCTCATCAACTGATTTACCATCATTCCCTAATACCCTGCGTCTAACCTCACTATTACTTACCCGGCGATCCCAGCAGATGCCAGCAATATTTCTAAGACATCTGTGGTCAAATACTAGTAGCTTACGAGTGTCTTCTACTCTTAATGGCCATGTTTCGCTGCCGTAAAGTAAAACAGAACGGACTGCCGCGCAGTGTACTCGTCCTTTTATTGATAGACGGATATCTCGCCTTCGCCAAAGGTGACGCAAGTTGGCAAAAGCCAAGCGAGCTTTTCGAATCCGTGCTGAGATATCGTCAGACACCAAACCATCAGGACGCTGATAAGTATGCCTGTGTTCTAGAACCTGACGAATGGTGAATATGTGGTCGATGCAGCCACGACCGATTCTGAAGCCAGCTTGATTCTCTCGTGTTCACAGTTCGCGAGTCTTTGTTAGGCGTCCGATAATTATCGAGGCTAGTATTTTAGATACTATATTAGTTAAACCAATCCCTCTATGGTTGTCACAGGATGATTTTGACCCTCTCTTGTATATTGGGACGATAAGTGACTGTGACCAGTCAAACGGGTTAACGTCCAACTCCCAAATTTTAACTAAAATGTTAATCAACCTAATCGCTGAAATTGGACCACCATCCTTAAAGACCTCTGAAGCCAATCCATCTGGACGAGCTGACCTTCCTTTCATTACTGACGAGAACTCATATCAATCATACGCAACGTAAATATGGTACATTTAAACATCAGTTCAAGTTGCCACAAGAACTCATGACAAATGTGTAACACCCTGAAATCACATCAAACTGACATCCATGTAAGACTGAAGATTAAATGACTATTAACAGTACTGTATAGCATATTGACAAAATTACATAAAAACTCACCCCAGTTCATACTGACGACAACATGCTTCACGGAAATCTGTGACAGGAGAAAGCTCAGCATGAACAGGTCTCCCACCAAACCAGCGTTCATTCAAATCCTGAACAGCTTTTTCAGCATCTTCTTCACGCCTGAACTAGAAACGTGTTAGAAGTATTACAACGAGCTTACTTTGATATAAACGTTTCCAACTAGATGATCACCGAGATTATCACATACATTCATTTCCTCTATTTCCCCATACTAAAAGAGAAGAACTTATCACACAAAAATTTACCTTCTCTTCACATTCAACAAAGACCTCCTCGAAAAATTCGTCGAAGATTTGCTGAGCTTGGACTTCCGTAAGGTTGACTTTTAAGGAATAAAAAAATATTTTCACCAATAATTCAGGAAGAATTGTTATCCAACTTGTGGAACTTCAATCAGTAAATAAAACCAGTGACTGGCATGGCTGAAACGACCATTGTCAAGACATCTACAAAGCTCTATGGTTGCTTATAGCTGAGTGCATTGTTTTGGTCCTGGTAGTCAACGCATCTAACGATCACTGGATTTCAGCCAACCAGTAGGACAGAGAACTTAAAAACAAGTTGTCTTTAAAAAACCCAACTTATATACACACACCCCCAGTAATTTGTAAACAACCTGGTCAAAATCTACCGTTTCTAGGGAGATGCCTGGATACCAGCTGTCAAAATACCATAAACGATTGATATGATTTAATTGCATAGTTTATATTTTATCTAGGTGTAAAAATCCTGTTAGAATGGTCCATACTTAGTTATTGGATATGGGTGCTTATTCAGTACGAAATACTGACAACTGAAACACCTGTGCAGCTCTTACGATTGTTGCGTTCATCCCGAAGATTCCGCTAGGAACTAAATTTTACCTAAAACATTCACTATTGCATTTACTGTAGTTGTTGCAAACGTACTTGAGCAAATCTTCTGAAGCTCTGGTTTAAGTCAGTTGTTTTTATTTGCATTACTGTTAATTAGGAAGCAGCCTTTTCAACTAGATAAGAAAAATATACTTATAGATGGACGGATGCAGAACCACTGTAAACTTTAGATGTGAATCTGTCAAATCCCAAATGCCACTAAGTACAAAAGTCAACTATTCTTACTACTACCAATAAACCTGCGCAGATTTATCAGTTATCCGAATTAACAATTTAAACGGTTGCTATATTTACACGCTGGATGACTAAGCGTACTGTTACTGTGGTAACTACTGGCACAAGGTGTAAGATGGAGTATGGAAGGTGATCGGTCATTATACGCACATTCAAGGGATGACAACCGAATTCCCGTTTATACTAATGTAAATAGTTTTGGGAACTGGATAACATAGATCATATCGCTGCTGTTTACATATGGTAAAATAAATCAGCTTACGGCAAACGACGAGTAACACGCCAAGAACTCATGTCACTCACCAATACGTCTAAGGAGTGATGTATTTCATCGTAGGATGCTTTCTTGGTTAAGATCACGTGCATAATTTGTGAACCGTACTTCTATAGACATTGAGACAACTTGTTCTACGGATGATTTTAGACATTATTGCAACAGCCCTCAAATGCTAACAAGAACTCTAGTAAGCCAGTTTTGTACACCAACATAACACGATGTCAGCATAGTCTTGTTTTACCAACGAGGGAGAATATCCACTTACCATAAAAGCGAGAGTACTTCAGACTGCAAATAAACCCCTTCAGAGATTTTACTTTACTGCTACACTAAACACGGTAAAAATAAGTTATCTACAAGGGACTTGACACGTATGGTTACTGATTAGACACCTAATCAACAAACAGATTTTTAGTGAAACACAAGTGTACTTACAGACATTCCTGATAAATGATCAGCACTGGCCTACTTGGTCTTATCGGTCATTTGCACTGACGTTAAAGTTGATTAAGCGGTCCAAAAGTGTACCTAAAAATTGTCATTCCTGCTCATCTTTCTGATCTAATACCCATCTGTTTATTCTACGTCTAAATGCTAGTGCAGAAAAATATTTACTGGAAGACATACCTAAATATCACACTAGTCGTGCCTAAATACAACCAGATCTTTTTAAAATATATAACCAAAAAACACTATATAGCTTACTGTGAGATCCATCAGCACTCTGAGCTGTATTTTGAGGAGCTATATACAGGTTTTGTAGCAAAATAGTCTATGCATAAAAAAGTTGAAAACCTATTGTACCTGACCGAAAGACGGTTTGTTATGTAGTCTTGAACATTGCTCTCCGTGGCGGCATGCACCGATTTTGAAGTAGAACGAACAATTTACTCTGCATCAACAAATAATTTGAAAAAGGGTTCCTACTTATCCTTTTCCGTACCAAATATCGACGCTAAATACTCCGCCATGTTCACGAGGATCAAATTGCGCCTCTTTCCCGAACGGAATAAAACAATAAACCCGCGAGATCAGAACTACGTCTTTAAGTTCATGTACTAAAATGGAGATCGCTATACTTCTTGTGATGGAACATATATGACATCCTTATAGTAAGAGTCTTATTCCTGTTTCTTTCTCTTCTAACATAAATACTTTTGTTACGAGCTTGTTTAAACCGACTAATTTCTTTGAGTTCCTTTCATGTTGTTTCGCTGCTGTCCCAGGTCTCTAAAAATGTTTAATATCAGGTAGCCTAGCCACTCAGCTTTACCAGTTCAGGTCATCTCTGTATTGAGTTTTTGTGTAATCTGATCTGAATGAGTCAGTTTGTATCATGGCATCAAAGTTTATGTGACCTTAGCATTCACACTACCAGGCAGAAGTTTAGTTGATTGAAATGTGAAAAATAATCAAGGGAGAATTTCAATTTCAATGAGAGACAACTTCCTCAGAAATAGTGACTAATCTTGATGAAAACATGTAGAGGCTTATTCATGCTTTTGCTCTTTGATGTGCGATTTCATAGGGTTGCCTCGCCGAGAGTGGTTGTGTCCTTGATAACGCATTTTAGCTTACCAACCATATTGTGTAGTTATCAGATCACCCCTAATCCTCTTAGACAGATTTATTTCTAAGCTCCATCAACAACATATTTACTCGTCTCCGCATGTGGTCTGAAATATTTCTTTTTTTTGAAAAGGAGGCTAAACGACTTAATTTACTTCGAGATGAGGCCTTGACTATGTTTTAAACAGCGTCAAAAACAATTCTGGAGTGATTTTGTCCACCTATCTTTAATAAAGTGAAGAGTAGGGTTGTTACAGCTGAAAGATAACATACTTTCAGATGATTTCTGTGCTTTCTATGATTAATCGTCCTAGACTGCACTCTGAGGAGAAGAATGCCAGTGGATTTTCATAGAGGGTGTAAGTTGTTCCTGTCCTACAGGAATGAACATTCGCGACTTTACATTTTGATAGGTTAAGTGGTAATCCGTTGTCCTCTGCTTATCTTCCCGTTGTTGTGAGGTCACTTAAAAGCTCAAGTGGATCTTTTCAGTTTCTTATGTAACTCCATATCTTGGCATCTCCAGGATACATGAGAGTCGGTGGGTTAATGTCGCCTAGTTGATCGCTGATGAAAATCAAGGAGAGTAGATGATCCAAAATAGTTCCTTGTGAGACTCCTGATATTAAATTGTGCGGAAAGTTCGGTTCTACAAGTGGTGTTGAGGTCAATGTAGAAGTGAATTAGCGAAACACCTCTTCATGTGCCTTGTTATAAGGAATCCGTTCGGCATTATGCCAAACGCTGTTGAGAAGTCAAGAGGTGTTACGGACCGATATCGTTTGGTCCCAGAAGGTTGTCTGGTCGTGCCATGTTAAGTGAAGATTAGACACACGAGTCCTGGCTTATCTAAACCCATCTCGGCCTTCATAAAGAACGCTTTTATTGTCTTCGCATTCACTACCTTGACCACTGGACGATCTTTTCATTAATCTCGACATTATTGCGAATAATGTGACTGGTGTGTAGCAGGTTGAGCTTCTCCTATCACCTCTTTAGGAGATTTTAGAGAATAACCTGTGAATTTCGTAGATACAAGGCTTTAGTTTGGTACTGATTCACTGAACGCACTTCAGACAAAATATTATCTTCGGGAGAAATACTGTTGTACTCTGGACGTCAAGATACATTACATACACAAGAATTTGCAATAATGCTGTCCAGGGAAAACGGAAACACTTTTATGAGATGAAAACCTCATAGATCTAGAGTGATAGAAGCATTCTTCAAAACAAAGAGTGAGAAAATTACGATGAATGTTATCCTGAACTATGCAACCACCAATAATAGCAATGAAGACGATAATGACCAATTTCATGAGAGACTGCAGTCGATAGTGGAGAATTGCCCAATAAATTAGCTGACAACCCTATCAGGAGAGCTAAACGCGAACGTCAAAATGGATAACACCATATAAAAAGACGTTGTAACGACCGAAATACCAATATTCGGTTTGAACGCAGAACTAACGAACCAAAGGTTATTCGATTAGGCCAAACCATGTTCTTCCGTACAGCATATGAAGTTCTTTTCAGTAAATCGCATTAAACCATACAAAAACGCAAGCTGCGTTAAATGTAAACAGTTCTAAGTTATGAAGCTAAATGATATCAAAGGTACAAAATACTTCAAACGGTACAGCTTGTGTTATGCTGTCAAGTGCTTCTCCAGCACAAACTAACGTTCTAAACAAAAGAAAGAATTATTAAACAAGAAGTCGATACCTAGGTATCAATAAAATTATTCCCAACAAAATGAGATCAAATATCTATCTGCAGGGATCCCAGCAACAATCAGAGGTAGATAGTCGTGCACTGAACCACGCCGTGACATTTAGTTTGGTCAAACACGACCTTACTGTCAATGGTATGGCCATATTCAACAGTAAATCGATTAATAAAAGGCGAATCTATAACGAAGATCACTTAACAAATTCTCGGCAAGGAAGACTGAATAACTTAATGTGTGGTTAAAAAGAGATGCTGGTAAATGCTGAAATACAAAACAAAAATTAAGTGACAATACTGTCCAGTGAAGTGAATTGGAGGGATTTTCTGCGTTTTCTTTCCGTTGCGGATATCATGGGACAACATGGACATAGAGAAAGGAATGAGAATGGTGAGGATATTATGAATTTATGTGCCTTGAGCAAAACGGTTACATGTGTCATTACATTCCACCTGCAACCACACATAGTTACATGAGTTTCGCTGGATTACATTACTGGGAGCCAAATCGATCAAATTTATATCAACCGAAATCGGGAAGTCCAGTTGAAGATGTGAAAACCAAGGGTAGAGGTGACAAATACTGAGCATCTAAAGAATCGGCGTTACAAAAGTTTGGTACAAACGTTTTTTAGATACCGAGAAACACTAAAACAGCAGCATGTTCCAAGCCTTACAGAATCTACTGAAAGAAGATGAAACTACTATGGAGGACAACTGGAAAGAGATCAAAGAAGCATTAACTTCATTTTGCCAGCAGATGCTGTACCGCATGAGGCACCATCATAAAAATGGATATCTGCTGATTTCCTGAGGAGGATTGAAGAAATAAAGAACAAGAGGACAAAAGTCAAAAATAGCCGAACGAAAGAAAACAAAGGGAGCATTAGAGCTGATAAGCAGAAATATGTCGAATACCTAGCAATGACAATAAAATTGCTGCGTGACAAAAAAATCCAAGTTCACTATATTGAAACGAAGGAGAAGCTGTAGTAGTAAAACAAATGGAACATTAAAGAATAAAGAAGACAAACTAGTCACTGAAATTCAAAAAAACAGGTGTGTAGAGCGTTTTGAAGAACCTGTATTGTGTCGAGTCGCAGTTGACTATGATCACCACTACAGGAATACTACGTGCCAGTTAACTGATAATATCCCCCGTAGGTCGACTATCAAAAGGCAGTTTGTGTATTTGTTGGACATCTCGTGGTATCAAAAGAATACCGAAGTCGTGCCAGGTTAAAGGTGTGGTTACTGGGCGTAACCGAATTCGCACAAAGTCACAATCAACAGAAGAAAGAAGAATGTCTTTAGTACAGTTAAACAAACGAGTACAGTAAAACAATCACTGGTACAATTGGTTATAATAATAATTGTTTCCATTAAACCAATCGCGTTCTCTTGATAAAAGTAGGCCGCTAAAAACTCATCGATAGACCAATCCTACTGAATCCATGTGACATCGAGGTAGTACACACAGATCTTCCATAGATGTTACTTCACCAATAATAAAATAAGTTAACATGACCATCTTAAAGATTAAGAGAGGGAAAGCAAAGGGACCAGGAACATATCAGCTTAAGCACTAAGCATCATCGATAAACAAGGGGGACTTGGTGTCGATGTAATAAAAAGGATTGGTAAATCAGGGATAGACGTTTACAGCTCAAGGACATTCGGAATTTTAATCAACTGTCAGCTGCATCAATGTCATAATATTCAACACGAACATAAAGGCGGTTCTACTGTAGAAAACCTTAACTTGGTAGACTACCACATTCATCACCAAACGGTTACTTATTTACTCCTGTTACTCCTTCGGACACCATCATTAGAAGTGTTTCATATTTATCATCACCACAAACATTGCCGGATAAGATTCATGGTTGTTTTTTCTTTGAAATCATCATCTGGGTAATAGGGGAGTGCTCTTGATAGCGTAAATAAACGGTCTTCGCTAATTCATCTGAGGCTTGAAAAGCAAGAATACCGGTTGGTCTCCCGGACTAAGTACAGAAACGGACGATCAAGTGACTGATGGGTCTAAAACATAGATCTTATAAGGACTTACCACAACACCTGGATATATTCTCGTTGAGCTACATAAGAATAAGAGGTGATCTGTTAATGGCATGCAACATACTAAGCACGTCGAGCCACCCAAATAGTGAGTAACTATGAGAGGAGACTTGATAAACACGTACTCACCCACGGATTACCGTCTCTGTATTGGACCAGCCGTGTCTGATACATGTCTCATAAATTAGATTTGTCATCACTGAATATCAGTAACTACTTCTTTTCTCTCTTAGTATCATCTCCGTTTCCCCTTATTTTTTCCACACCGCCTTTTTACATATTATCAATTTAGTAAATTGATTATTTATTTTTGAAACAATCATCTATATAAGCTGTTGACAAAAATATTGAAAATATTGGGTGGAGAAGTTTGTGAGTGATATAATGCATTACGAATAATCTAACTGAATTTAGTAGAATGAAATGTGTAGATCTGAGTAATGAAAAGTAGTCAGGATTTGAATATACCATCAAGAAACTAATGAAGACAACTGTTCAGTAATTAAAGATTCTAGTTGCTAGAAAAAATCTATAAATATTTTCCATACAGTTCATTATCATGTAGAAGTAAATCCTTTCCTATCACAATCGTCTCACATTTACACAGTAGCTTTGATACATCCAATTAATCTTGATTTGATAAGGGTGCATAAGTTATGTCGTACACGTTCAATTATCTGTTTCATTTGAAGTACAGCTGCAAGTCAAGGTGACACTGCATATGACAAGTCGGTAGATACGTTAGCTGGGATTTGCTGTGGCGCTTGTAATAACTTGTGCTTCGTGCGTCAGCGCAACTTGCAATACTGTTCGACATTCCACGATTCGCTAAATCGCTTACATTCCAAAGAAGCATTAAAACATAACCTATAATGTAGCTTGGTCTCTTTATATGTATGGTTGTATCGGTTTATACTCCAATCAAATAATTTATTTTACGACACATATACACTATTTTTCTTGTACACAATTAAACTCACTACAATGAATTAATTCTATGACTCGCAACTGTACTAAATACCTAGTTAAATCCTTTTACAACAAACTACCAGTTATTTTTAATTCTCAAATAATAATGGCAACCTACTTAATTCTCACTTTTGCTTTATCATACGTAATCAGTTGATATATCTGCAACATTATTTTATTGCACCATATCACTTCGTAACTCGTCATTATTGCTGCATGGTCTTTTGGACTAGTTACTTTAGGTGAGCCATTATCGGACTATATTCTGAAGAAGAGCTTTTCCGACCTATTGCCTGTCATTTCCATTCCAAAGAAGTCACAGAAGTAGTCCTTTCCGAATCAATCCTTCTGCTTTTTTGTTTGATTACGAGAACTCTAGTTGTCAACTGTACATTGTCTGCACACAAAACAGTTGATACCAAGTGACTGTCTCTGTTAACAATGGATACAACTGATAACAAAGATATTTTAACCAGATCGTGGTTTTTTAGGGTCAGTTCAAATATGCTTCACTCACGCAAAGCCTATCCATTTGAAATTCTATCTAACATCGAATCTGTATAGATTTTGTTTGGGAGACATTAATAAATCACAAGTTATAACACTGCTGTTGATATCACTTTCTTATTTATAAAAAAGCCATATTATATCTCTAATTTTCTAAACATTGATCACAACTGTGATCTTTAAAATGTTAGAATTTACCATTTGATTTAAATTCGTTTTACATTTTAACAAAATATTTAACGTTCCTCTTGTATTAATATACATTTATTTTTATTTTTATGCTGCATGAGTTTAGTAAGTATTTAATTAGTTGCCAGGATTTTATACTTACCCTACCACAGCACTTATATCTGTGTTTTTACTTACGTATTATAGTACGCTACGGTTTTCCAGTTTTGATAAGCTTGGTCTAGCCTTATACGGTAAAGCGAATTGGCTTTTTTTGAAATGGTTTCCGTTTCCCAAGGTTCACAAACTAACCGCGTGGATGTGATTTCATAGGGAAATTGTTACCCCCAGGTCTTGGGGCGCAGGTGTCGCACCAGGGGAAAGTATAATCTACATGCACACCGGTAACACATATGTTTTCACCCATTCACCCCTCAGCATAAATATAGAAATATCCACTCACCTGGATGAGTAAATGATCACCACTCCCTTCGAAAGTATATGCCACAACTGACTGTCACTTACACATTACATACATATTACTGGTACAAAGACTGTCGCCCTGTACTTCATGACATAAGCGTAAGCACTCTCTCAGGGATGGTTGATAGTCACCTCGCCGTAGTATTTGCTACCATATTTTTTATTGTCTTCAACATGAAGCATTAGGCCGCTGACTTGATTAGACATGAGGCAGACACTACATTCCTTGTGCTAATCCACACAACTACCCTTTTCATATACCTACAAACATAAACTACACAAACCGAAACTCATACAATTCATATACATAAGCATACACATCGGGTAGCCCGCAAGACTTTAGTCTGCCCTGAATTTGGGATCCAGTCGATCCGGTTTACAGCAGAGTAGTGGATTAGTTCAATCTCGTCAACTACCCAAATTAGCTAGCAAGGTTGCTCTCACTACCCGGTAACGTCATGCGGAGGCCTTGAGTTGGATTTTGTTGCCATGGATTATGGTACTAAACTTGTTACGCAAACGGAGATTCTGTACAGTCGTGAGCATAGATAACAGGAATATGGCAGTGTTATCAAGAATAGCACTATATTGATGTGTTGAACTAACCATGACTTCTTCATTACTCACCCTATTGATTGGAAACAGAAGCTATGTAGCTTAATATTAAAACACAACAACAAATGGTATTTTCCGTATTATGACTGTTAAGATTAAATTATGTAACTCAAACTCGCGTTGGATTTATGAAATCCGATTAAAGCGCTGATACGTCACAGGTAACGTGTGCTAACAAATCCCGAAACGGCAATAATAGTTACCATCTAAGAGAGTGCTGCCTGGTTTCGGCGCAAAAATGACTTATAAGTGTTAGATACCATGGTAGGTAATGATTAATTAATACCACTAAATAGCATTTTAGAGCCTGTAAACTGACGGGTCGATGAAGGACTTACCATACTAAATTTTTCGTTGGTTCTTCTTGATAGTTATGAATTATGTTTATTTTTGGCGTTTAAAAGTCAAATGGATTAATATTGGATGATGTACATTTTGAGTTTGTCATTACGGGGCTTGTAAAATACAGTTGACGGTCAGGTGATATAAATAATTATTCGTGAGGATAATCATTTTAAGCAGTCATGTAAATCTCCCTGGAACATTGTAGACCTACCTCAGTACTTATGATGGATTACAGCCCATGATCTCGATCATCATTCGGTGTCTAATTTTTAAATAGATAAGCACTATCCACTACTGATTATCTTGTAAAAGTTATCTCCCAGCTGAGGGCACATTATGCAGAACTTATGCTTGAAGTCTACCAGATTTCCTGATTGTAAAATCTTAATATTGTTAGGTTTCAAACGTCTGACTACTATGTCTAGCTTCATATGAGCAAATGGACTATATTCACCAATATTTTTGGCGGTCAACGTGTAAATAAAGCATACATATCCTGCAATCTTCATAGCAAGCGGTAGAACAAAAGGAAACGAAATCTATATTATCTCGAAATATTCTGTCCATTTCCCGACGTACTACTTGAAAATTACAATCGATACAGGTTATTATTGCATGATTCATTTAAAACATTGAGTGTAGGGTCTATTTCCCCTGAATAAACTGATGTTTATTTAATCCCAGTCAGCTATATATATATATATATATATATATATATATATATATATATATATATATATATATATATATATATATATATATATATATATCCAAAATTCGTTAGAGTACTAGTAACGCTAGTATTATGTTGTGTAGCCAACCGAGTGTGCTACCAGTATAAAAAGCTCTTGAGTTAACTCATTCAATTCACCACTCGAGATAATTTATTACAGAGTTAATCTAAGCAGTCGACTTATTTTAATCGAGAAAAATAACAATATTTGATTTCACACAAAAAATAGCTATTGTTTTTGAGGTAAAACAATCAATTGTGGCTAAGTTTATTTCACTGTCTGTACATTTCGTTTTGTGTGTACAAAGAGAAAAAATAAGGGGAAAATAGTAGCAGAACGATTGTTTCTGCATCTTGCTTATTAATTATCACTTATTGATAAGAATCAATCCAAGATGTTATATATAGATAGAAGGTAAATACCAATTGATGATAATGATCTAAAGATCTAACAGAAAAAGGGCGATTAGTCATGATATTATGCAGAGTACAAACAGGGTGACGTTGATGATGATGATGATCATATTATTGAAAATTACAAGATTTCAGTAATCTACTTCAAAATTACTGATGATTCGTAAGCAAAACGTATATGAATATCAGAAATAATATTGATTAAAATACTGTTAGTAATGACCTGAAAGAATTATAATAAAGTGAATAGACAGAAAGATTCTTTTCAGGTCTCTAGAAAACTTAAACAAACAATATGAATTAAAACTTGAATAATTAAACTTCCACTATACATAATTAAGAAACTATAATAGAAATTATAATGAGATAATTCAATTTGTTTCTACTTAAAATAAGCTGAAAATAAAGTGAGATAAATTTCGTACACAGTTATTAATGATTGGGTGGTAAATAATCGATTTACATGTACCTTCATTTATTGAATGTTCAAACAATGAAATAAGTAAACAATATAATCTATCAATCCAAAATTATTTAAAATCAAGGTGGATAATTACACAAAGAATATTGAAAGAAGAAAAAAAAGAGGATAATAAAATTAAATAAAATCCAAAGGTGGTGGTGGATCTGTAGGCATGGAGATTTCTCTTTTTGGCAACTGATTTAAATCTAAACTTGAAAGACGTATACACATGTCTAGTTCAGTTAAACGCTCCACATCTTCATTGTAATAATCACTTGGATTCTATAGAATAAAATAAAAATTCGTTAAAGAAAAAAAACGAGATTTTTACTTTCAGAAAAAAAGCAAAAAGTAACATTTCTTTTGTTTCTTTCTGTCCTTCTTGACATGTGTAAAGAATGCATATGATATATATATGCATAATCAATGTGATATTAGCGTAATGTTAGAAGTGGAATAAAAAATCTCATTTCATATTATTTGTAACCCATTAGTGAAAGATGATAAGCAATCCAGTTGAACGATTATATATCCACTTCCTAATCTCTAGCGATCTGTTACTCTTGAACACTGTACTGAAAAATAAAGGCTTTTACATTGAAGGTTAATTTATATACAGAAAATAAGGATATTTATAAGACTGTATATGATTAAGAGATTTCAGAAGTCTCTGGAACACATCCTGAAATTCTCATGAAAGTTTCTAAAGTATGCAGATTGATGGAAATATTTTAAACATTTTCCTGCCTTTTGAAAACTTTTCTCGAGAGAATATTGAAGCCTCCTACCAAAAGGAACTTAAATAATAATCTTCTTTAATTGAGAGTACAATCTACCATCAATAATTGGTTTTCAGAATCGAAATGATTCACTAATATAACTAAAAGCATACAACAGAGGTTAAATAATTTCAACTCGACCTCATTGTATAGCAACCATTTTTATAGAAAATTCACCCGGTAACACTAAGGAATTCGAACTTAACGTTACAAGAAACTGTTTAACGATTAACAATATATTTTGACATTTAACAAGTTAGCATAAATGCATTAACTTCAAACTGTACAACTTAGGCCACCATGAAACATTTCCATACAGAACTCTTTCATAACTGATTGTAATAAAATACCACACAAACATATGACTACGTAACAGTCAAAATGACCATTCAAAATATAATATGATAACTGAATAATATAACAAAACGATGATGTAGAAATTAACTTGATAGGATTTTAATACGGATTTTTTGGCACTATAATTTCTATTTATGAAAGAAAAAGAGTAGATGCTTACAGAATAAGTGCATCACTAACAATTTAAAGAGCTTGTAAAGATTACCCAACTTTGTAGTTTATATCACAAACTGACCATATTTAGACGACCATTCCTGGTTTCCGGTGATTGTATATGGATAGTTTGTGATATAAACTATAAATCAATTATAGAATAGTTGGATTTCGGCTAGCAGTGGAATCTATCAAGCAAGTTTTGCCCTCTTTAGAATTCTTCAGCTGCATATGTCTTCATCTGTGTTAATATCGAAACCACCACTCGAAACCCCTGTATCCTTTGTTACAAATACCAAACGAATATATTTTATTGGTTATCAATAATTATTGGTCATTCAAAGATTTATTATTGTTAATTACATCAAAACAGAATTAGATTCTATCTAATCAGATTTCAAAAACATTAACTTACATTTAATTTATTTAATAAAAATAATCCATCTAACCAATAATTATATTCAATTATTGATCTGGCTAGTAAAATAACTCGAAAACAACGTGATTTATTACTTGTCGATTCACTGGGATCATCTTGATTTGGAATATCGGATAATTCCACTTGAAAGAGTAATGTCTAATTCGGATTTTTTTAATAAAACAAAAAGACGAACACAAATGAACACTCAGAATAATACTACTTTTTATAATTCAGTAGCACAAGTTTTTATTGTAAATTTAATCATTAAGGTCAACTTGTAAAATATCACTAAGATTCAACATATTTAATCATGACCAGTAGTGGATTAATGTAGAAGAGAACAGTGCAAGAAATCATGAATATTATAGATCGATACAATTATAATTCATCCTGTTGAAATTCGTCAATTTAATATATGTGTTCCTATCTATGGCAATTACTTATTGATGAAATTCAAGTGAATTGTAAATAGAATAACGATAACCCACTAAATATGTTGATATTTTAATAACGCGTTAAAGTCCCTCAAATTCATTTATCTCTATTCAAGGATGTCGTTACATCTCTCTGGAGAAAAAATCACTTCGTAACTTTATTGATAAACAGATCAAATTCCACTTGGTAAAAAATATACTACTATTTTGTCAGATTAATACTTACACGTTCCGGATTTTTTTTCACTTTCTCAGTTATACCCAAAGATACTCGACTAATACAGTTTAGTTGCCCTTTGGATAAAAAAAGAAATAAATAGTGTGATTACTGTTGAACTTCTAATTAAATTATTAATAATTACATGGTGGAATATATATACACGAATTAGTTCACATTATATGTTCCACATACTAAGAATATCGATCACAGAGAATGTTCGATATTGAGGTTTAGTGAAAAATATACATTTTACGCAGAAAATTCCGCATGTTTAGTTGCTCACAACCCTACTAACTAGCTTTTAAGTAGTGTAACTATTTCTTGAGAATCCAACATATTCTGAACGTAATAGCATTCACCATAAGCGATATAATGCGACTCAATATCCAAATAAATCTATTCCTCTTGAAGATGTACAAAAAGAAATGTTAAAAATGAAATTGTTTCTTAATATCCATATTATCGTTGACTCCTAAACAGCTTTTCGTCATAGTATTTTCCCTGCTGACTCTGGTCTTCTTCCTCTAGTTAGATAAGCAGAGGAATGGAGGAACAGCTTAGAATAGTCCTTTTATTGAGTTGTTGGTTTATGTTCCGTCCACTGATACCAAGGTGATAACATGATATCTCAAACACAGCTGTTTTACTGGTGTATTTGTTCTAATATAGGTATGCAATTTAGGAACACAGATTCTCATCAATTTTAAACTAAAGATCATCTGACTAGGCTGATCGACCTATTTTGGATTTTCATTACAATTACAATCATATTAGAACTGAAGAAAACAGTGTAAAATATTAACTACAGTGTCTAAATGAACTGACGATAGTAACTTACATATTTCTCTTATGTTCTGGTTTGTGTCTCTTATAAGAAGCGACTTGCGATCAGGTGACAAGAGTACAGTGAATGATTGATTGTCTGTGTTCATTAAAGAGAAACAAAGCATATGATTTAATAATAAGAAGAAGAACAAATAGACATTAACACCAATGGATTCCTGCTCAGTGGTCTAGAGGTTAAGCATTCGCGCGCAAGACAGGCCATGTGTTCGATGCCCGTTTGCGGATTAAGGATGCGCACTGTCGAGGAGTACCGTACTAAAAAACGGCCGTCCAGTGCTTCTGAGTTTTAAATAGTGGTCTAGCTGGGACCAGTTTGTGATTTCAACTGTTAAAACACTACCATCTCCATAAACCACTTGTACCATAAACTTTGTCAAAGTTAAAATCCCCAGCATCAGTTGTGAAAAAAGCGCAATGATTTTCCGTCTAAAAGGCATTTAAAGTTGAAATTCATCAATAACATATTTTAAGCATGTTTCCAGTAGTCATCAACTGCCATCCAACTTCAATTCAGAATTTTTTCTACCAGTCCAGTAGATACAATAACTTTTTCAATAGAGATCATACATAAGTTGTATGAATCCCAGTGTACTCGTGTCTCGTTGTTCCAAACAGCAGACACGAAGAAATATATTATAACAACTGCAGTGCTTACATTTGAGTTTTCTAATATCCATAGTAATAATAATAATAATAATAATAATAATAATAATAATAATAATAATAATAATAATTTTTAAGCCTTTTATAATATCTCATGAGCACATACAATTGTGATATATAGTTATTCTGTCCAAGGAAATGGAGAATAGTAGGTTAACTGAAATGTTGTCACACTTAATATTAGGTGATCCACACGTTTGATTAGATCACCTTATATGCTAAGTGATATAAATGTTACTTCCGAGCCTACAACATAACATGATAAGAACTGTTAGAAAACCTATATAATACTTTTAAAATGTCTACAGATATCGGGAAAAAGACAGAAAGTACTTACATTAATCAGTTCTGTGAAAACTTCCATAAAGATTTTACAATCTATGGATTTTGCTACCAATATCTGACTGAATAAATAACAATTTGTTACCAGGTTTAGCACACTTCTCAGAAGCTTCTACAAACCCAAAGTCACATATTGTGTTATAAATACCCTTGCTTTCTATACATAGACTAACCTTAGAAGTAAAGCTTATTGTAATTTTTATGTCTGTTTTCCTGTTCTAGTTTCAAGCAGTGGTTATTCAAATAGACATATGATCTATTATATGGTACCTTCTGGGAACTGAGGAACACTGGATGTCTCGTGCTAGTATGAAACTCTTTTGATGTGCATACCTACCACTCCACTAGGAATCAAATCTGGGACTTTTAGGCCCCGGCGTTTACCAGCTTAAATGACTACGTAACCAAATTCTATTTGTGATGAGAAATTCCTAAATGAATTGCTGCTTGGTGCCTACACTTACATGAGTCGAAGTTTCTAAATATAACAATAGTAATTAGTCAAAATAAATTTAGATATCGATATTCTTCCTGTTCAAAAAAGTCACTTAAATACTATCTGGTGGTGAATGTTTACACAATCAAATTATGATCTTTTAAAAACTGTGTACTTGACGCAAACATATAATGCATATAATATTTCGAGATATAGTCCACTGATGTAGCTCATTTATCAAGGACAAATTTTCATAAATAGCTTTGAACTACATAGTTTATATGAAAACTAGAACACTAAGCAGCTAGATAAAATGAAGTACGTAGGATGGAGGTTCAAAACCTCAACCTACTGGTTGAAATCCAAATGCTTCACCTACTACTACTAAACCACTATTACGTTAATACTCTGATGTAATTCTTTAAAATAAGATAAATTATTTTGCTTTCTTCCGTGGTAAAATACCTTTAGAAATCAATACGTATTATTAATCTCGAAGTCAGTTATTCAACATCCATGTGTCAAACTTCGTGTAGTTAAAATAAAGAGAGCAGTTAGAATTATGTATTATTTGTTTTCAAGGTCACATTTATTGATTTAACGATGAGTACACATTAATTGCACAAAAAATAGAATGAAATAGCAAAAATATTTGATGGTTGAGTTGCTAATTTACCATATATCATATGAGCAATTTTACTCAAATGAACAAAGATGATTATCTTTATTATTAACACAGATGAGCACACTTCCATGGCCAGATTACTTTTAAGCTTGATGTTAGGTGGTTAAAGGTAGTCTACTGGAAACCCTGAATCTAGGTTTCGTGTTAGTTGACATTGATCAACAAGGTATACCTAAAATCTCGATAAAATAGATGCTCTCTTTAGGATTACAAACTCAGTCACTAAGTTCCACATTCTATTTTACCACTGTGCCATTTGGGCAGCGAGTGACCTATCATAGGATTGAGATATTTACATTAGATTACTAATTAGAAGTAACGAGTTCCATATTCGTCTGTATTCTCGAATCTTATCAGTCAAGTTTATATTTAAATATTACATCTTATCAAATTCCCCTTCAGTTGGTTTCAGAACTGAATCCCAGTACAGTGATTTAAAAGTATGATGATCTCCGCGAGGCTTGAATTTTAAACTTGTGTGAAGTTATCGTTCGAGCGACTGAGTTACAAGCTAGGGTGAAACAGCTGTTTCACTCCTGTTAGATTTTCGTTTCTTGAACAAACCTTAGCTAACGAAGAAACACACGTTCAGAAGGCTAGGTATGCTAGTGATTTATCATAGAAATATGCATATTTTCAAAGATTTCCATGTTGATTAGTTAATGTATACCAATAAATCATTTCATTACAGAACTGTTTGTCAGTTTATTCGAAATATTACTTAATACTGAACGTTCAATCGAAAATCAAAGTGAGGCTTTGGCAGTTCACTGCGTATAAGCGAGTAAATCGCCCGTAGACTCCAGACTTGTATAATCGATAAATTCCAAAACTTCATAATAGATATATCTGAATATTCAATAAATATCTTTAGATTATGATTTATTAATTCAAAGAGATGATCGGGGAAAAATGTCCCATAAATTTATAACAAGTTCTTGTATCTTATTTATGAATATTGTCAAGGGAGCTGAAGTGCTGATACTATTGATCTTATCCAACCGTGCCAAAGTTCCATTTTTAACTGAATACCATATTTATGGCTCTGATTGTAGCCAGTGTTATATCTGGTGTTTACGGTCCGCAACTTGAATTCAAGGTCAGTGAGAATATTCAGCAAAAGCATGAATGAGATTTATTTTTATTAGTGTTATTCAGAAAGTTATATATAACATTGCTCCTAAACAACCTTCACTGTACTAGTAATTGAAATGTGTTGTAGTTACTGAATAAAACAGATCAGTGTGCAGCCATTCCTTCATTTGTTCTGGTTTGGCAATTTGGACTAGGTAATTGCACTGTATTTCATTCTTAATCTGAACATGGATACTCAAGTCGCGACAAATATATCATATAAGAACTTTAAATTGGAACTACAGAAAATATACCCAATCAGTTCTAAAATATCCACAATATGAATTGTTCTGTCAAAAAATAGAAATCCAAATATGTTCAGAATTTTATGAGCTTTACAGCAATATACACTCCAATAAACAGTAAACATTTTATCAATATTCCATTATAAACTCATCATGGAAACGAGTCCAGAATACTTGTATTGTATCGTATAACTGTAGTGGATTCACAGGGTGATTGAAATCACTTTCCGATTCCCTGATAAGATTACTTCTTTAACAGAAGAATTCATTTGTTGAGTAAATCAATCCAAGTAGGTGATGATTCGTTTTATGAAGACTATATATGAATAGATGGATACGTGCAAACATCCATATATATATGAATTGTTTTTCTCCAGCAATCACGTTAACACTAACATATGAGTAAAATACATCAAAAATCAATTACCTTTACTACATAATTTCGATCCTTTTGATGGGATATATTCTAAAGGTGCTGAATTTGACAAAATATTTAAACGATTCTCATATACATGTCCTTGATGACGTTTCCTTACATCGTTACGTAATTCTCTAGATGAAAAATAAACAGATTAATGTGTACAAATGGTAAAGTTTCAGAAAAAAAGAAAGATATTATCAATGAAAAACAAATAATTTAGATGCTCTTCTAAATAAAATATGACAAGCTATTCATTTAAAAATAAACAAACCACTAAAATAATTCAATTGAATCGGTTAAGTTTTTGATTGAGATCATGAGTTGATCGATGTTAGACCACTATTGAAAACCTGAAAGCACTGGACAGCCGTTTCGTCCTCAGTAGTGCGCAGCAACGATCTTGCACGCGGGATTCAAACCCAAAACCTTCGATATCGCGTGCGAACGCCTAACCTCTAACCTAAAAGTCATTAAACAAAAACAAATCTAATTCACTATAATCATAATAGAAACCGTAGAACGTACAATGAATACAGCAAGATCATGATTTCCTTTCTTTAGTCATCCCAATAATGAGCTCACGAAATGAAGAGAATATAACCTAGTCCAACCCCCTTTGAGTATTTACAAGTTTAACTGCTCTTGTGAAACCAGTTATGTTGGGCGTAAAATAATGCAAACACAATCGTATTTCTGAACATCAGCCATCATGATTAACCAAAGGACAGAACTAAACGATAAGAAGCTCTATTTTGGAGCTTCTGGTTGATACTGCTCACCACGTCGACATAAACTCATCTTTTAAAATTATCTATAGAATCATAACGAACTTACCCTGTGTATTTAGAATTCAGCCTTTACATATAGCAGAAGCCATAGAAATACACATCAATAAACTGAACCTCTGTATATAGAAAATGCTTTTACAGCCTCTCAGTTTACCTTGGCCTTCTATTCAGTTACTATTACTTTTCTTAAAATTTACAAACTTAATTTTTTCAAAATTTAATTTCTAATTCTAATCTTACCTCATCTATTTATTAATGTATTATATCCCGATATGAATAATGAATGGTAACTGTTGGGATATAGTACTGGACTAATACTATACATACATTTCTATCGTATAACTGTTAAGTAACTAAATTATTCATATTCGTGTTCCTCTTATCATAAGCTTCATTTTGACTTATGGACTATTATTATACGATTTACCATTCATGAGTTCTACCTGGTCTATCAATTACTGCCCCCCACACTAACAGCCAATTTTGGGCTAAATCTTGTACAAATGTTATTTTCTATTTTATGGTACGATGTAATCTGTTTGGTTGGTATATAAACCCAGTATGTTTGAAGTAAACTATTAATATTGCAGAGGCTGGGATTGGTGTTCTAGACTTTACAGACAGGGCTAGGTGGGAAGCAGGACCGATAAGGACTCTAGACTGCTCGTACTTGTTTTATGCGTGATTGGTCCGGTGGATGGTTCACTGTTCTCTAATTGGCCTTATACATCAATAGGACACAGGGCACAATATAATTATCTAACTATCATTGAACCCATTTTACGAATAGTTTATTATTACTCTTACACATAGCACAAAAAAACACTTATATCTCAAATTTACATACTTACGCTTCAGTAACTAGTTGTGATAACTAAGCGATCACGAAAATCCACCTTAATTTTCCAGACCTTGTTTTACTAACAAACTATTCTATCATTAAATCGATCCAACACTATTTACTTGGCATTGATTTCATATTTAATTGTAAAAGCTATATATATTGGAGTATAGACATGAAGAACTCATTGAAAAGAAATATTGCTTAGCTCAGCTTGTCTTTTTAATGTTTTAATGGGAATATTTGATGAACTGAAATCAGAGTTTTTGATGGTGAATTTATAAAACGTTCGCTAAGCAAACCTTATTACTGACCGCACATGGCGATCAACAAACAATCAGGCGCCTAGTGAATACACTGAATATGGTCAAGAAGATCTTGTCAATGCTGAAGACTATGACATAGGTAAGTATAAAGTGATCGATTTAGTTCGTCAGAACGCTGACATTTGACATTAATCGAATGAATAGATAATTAGAACTGAACATCGATTCATTGGAATCAGACAACCAAGTTCAATTTCAAACACCGGAAACGTTTAGTTGAATGAGTCGTATAGATGTATCTGGGGCGTTCATTGTATTATCGGATCAAAGTTAATAGAGCGGTAATCAAACTTGTAATCTAATAGCTGTGAGTTGTCTAATTAAACAACTCGACTACATATTTAATGATAACACTAGCGACTATATTGCAACATGATCGGTAGAATTTGATCAGCCGTGACTCTGCTGCCCTCAGTGATCGTTCAAGGGCGAAAACATTTTTTACAGAATGTTGGCCACAACTTATCAAATTAAGAAACCCGGTGATGCGGGTATGAGTACCACAAGGAGTATCAGTTCCCTTACAATAGAAGGTACGCCTCTACTGATGAGTGCTAACTAGCACGAAACCCGATTCAGGGAATTTTTCCTCTAAACTAACTGCAACCAACCCATTTTAAATATTCTTGCAGTTCTAATTCAAGACCCTTAAGGAACTAATTTCACCGAAAATTAAAATAAGAGACCACACAATTGAGAAATAAATATCGATTTTCCCCAAATAATGATAACGATGATGTTAAAGATAGTTCATTACTGATTGAAAATGCTTTTTTCTGTCATGGTTAATGTGTAAGTATGCTGACTAAAGTTCGATGAAACAAATGAACAAATCAGACAACTGAAATAATGAGGAATTCAAAGTAAACATAGAATGGTATAACTCGAATTTCACGATTTTGACATGTGGTAAGTTTTAAAACGATAAATATCTATAACGATGATTCGTTTTGTAACATCTTTTTTTTCTTCGATACTTGTTCATGTACGTATTTTAAACCTTCATCATTCTTTATACACTTTAGTAGGTCATAATAATGTAAGTTTGTGACTGAGGCGAGTCGGCAGAAATTTTTGAACCTTAGTCTCAATGCTAGTTGGGATTCACCAAAATGAGATATATTATCAGTAAAAGAGTGGACAGGTGCTCCCTATGAGACTCGAACCCGTTTAAACAAGTGTGCTATAACCAGAGATATTACCACTAAGGTATTTAACCTATTATCAATCACTTGTAAGACTAAAATGCTTGCTCTAGTTCCTTAGTCTTGATAGAACTCTATTGATGTAGTTGTGAAGTGATTGCTAGTCTAATTATGGCTAGATGTAATAAGGATTACACGTTTTGGTGAAAGTCAGTGGTTGGAAGCAAATGGTAGGAAGTTCCGCACTTGTGATTATAATAATAACGTCAAATAATTTCTCTGCAAAAAATCTATATGAAAATAATTAATCCAGAGTATTTCACACTCAGCGTATAACGTTTATACTCAATGTGATGTATTAATCAATAAATATGTTGTTGATAGGTAATCCAACGAACAAAGTAACAGTTTTACAAATGTGCAGTTCTTTTAAAACAAAGAAAAGTAAATGAGATCAATGTGTTGTGCTCTTTTTATTGAGTAATAACAAAATAACTTATATAAATGTTATGTATTCTATATATGGAAGTACGACTAAAGTGTTCTGTTAGTATGTGTAGGTGAGCATGATTAATAGCAGTTGAATTCATATCTCTTAGTAAATGAATTAACATACGACAAACTGAAGTCGGACATGAAAGATACTGGCATAATAACAAACGTCGAACACGATGTTATTGACCTAGTTAAACCGGGACACATTATTTCACATTCCTCACTTCATCTGATTTTCAACCTCGTGTGTGCTATCTCATGAAATATCGACATCACTGAATGGGTTCCGTGATTCCTACTTCGTTGAATCCACAGGTTACAACACTTTTACAATAAAACATCCCGATATTCACCAAGGAACTAATCATTCAGTTAAGTACACAACTGTGAAATTATCGGCCTATTTTTTGCACCCTGAAAAAATTCATAAAGAAAAAATCTATTCAACGGATTGTCGAACCAGAAATAAATAAACCATATCATCTACAGAGACCACTTGTACATTTGGAACATAATAAAAACCTAATGAAATCTGCGATCCTACCACGAGTGGCATCTCAGATTTATACAAGTCCTTGTGTGAACGAACATAAAATATGTATGTGACTGTTGCACATCTCACTGTAATAATATTGGTTATTCTGTATACATCCATATATGATTGATTATCACCTTTCATCTATGTACATTTTCTGCATGGATATCTATATTTCTATATATCATGATAAATGTGTAGTTCCATGTAAACAGTGATATAAAACGTATTGAAGTATGATTTTACAGACCCATTCCGTGTTTGGGTTTTAATTACCACCATTTTATAAATGAGGCCAGCCGAAGTACTATGTACACCAAGTTCATAGGGTCTGTTATTTCACTTGTCGTCATCAATATTATCAAGAATCGAGTCAAAAGGTGATAACATAGTTCTTCTACTGATGAGTATTATTAGCAAACTCTTACAATACCAAAAAATCCAATTTATAAACTCACAATTTTAATCAACCAATAATCAAACAACTAAAACACGAAACTTACATTAATGCCGGGTGATTATGTAACATATCTACACGTAGACGATTCTCCCGTTTCGACCACATAGATGGTACATCATATGGATTAAATTTTATCAGAGAATTTTCAAATTCTTCAAGTGAAATAGGAATGGTTTTCAAAATACGATTTATCTGCTCTCGTACCACGCATAAAATCTATTTGACCAAAATAAAACGACACGGTTGGTGAAATGAAAAGTTCAATAAAATAAGAAAGTAAAAAGAGAGAGAGAGAGAGAGAGAGAGGAAGACTATACATAAGTTTTATGATTATGTGATGCAAAAAAATGTAGCGATAACAACAACAGCAGCAAAGTAAACAGGCTGTAAACACGTAATTAGAGAAAAAAGAATTTGTAGAAAAGAAAAGTAACGATTACAAGGTATTAAAGAGAGTCTACATGATTAATATTTAGGTTAGGGTTCAGGTCCATCAGGATGTTACTGCTGTGTCAGGATGGGCATACAGGAAAAGCCAACTATCGGAACGATCCTACCTAACAATTATCAAAATTATAATTCGACAAGTTAACTTCTGTTTGTAATAAATCTAGATGTGTAATGTACACTAAAGAAAATCGAATACAAAGTGATAATTAAGGTTATGTACTTTATAGAATCAAAATTCCAGTAGAATGTCAAAAAATATTTTCAAAATTAAAAGTATTAAACAAAAAAATGACTGAATAACCGAAAAAACGTGAAAGCCGGAATGATAACACTAGTTTATTGAACGTTCTGTTCCTTTATTTATAATATTATTCATTATTATGAGGTGTTTTTGTAGAGTTTGTTGAGTTTCCAGTGGATGCCGATTCATTGATCTAAAGGTTTAGCACTCATTGTAAAACCTGAAGGTTATGGGTTCTAATTTAAGTGGGTTCGTTTATTCGCACTGCTGAGGAGTTCAATACTGGTATGAAACAGCTGTTCAGTTTATAGTTTGAAATGTCTCTCTCACTCAAGTCAATCGGTGATGCAAACTGCTGAACAGCATTCAGTTCAGATAAATAAACAGGTGTCATCAGTTAGAAATGTTTTATTTTTATATAACTTTCACGATTTTTGTAATAAATCTTTATTGAGACATTGTATGAAGGTTTGGATTGACCAAGGAGAAAGAAGTTTAATTAAATGATTAATGGTTGCTGAAATAAATGTTCAAGAGCGTCTATCCCCTACTAAAAACTATTAATAAAGAAATCATTCTAACTTTATTTGAGTGGTAAAGCAATATTCATACGTGAACTTTAGATCTTATACACAAAATTATTGTACTCTCCACAGAAGGATTGGAGAAAGAATATTATTATATTTAATTGACTAAACAACAATTGAAGCAATGATCAATTATCTCTGAAAGTACTCGATACAATCAGATGGAAATCAAAAATAGATTAAATGAATGAATTACAACACACATCACATATAGGGTTTTGTAATAAAATAAGATTATTTGAGGAGACTACATATCTTTATTGTTTGACTGGATGATTGAATAGTATAATCTAAATGACAATGGATTGATAGTAAATGATTGATAACAATTATAATAAGGAAATCCTAGTTACAAATTAACAAGAACGAGACGGAAAGTTCTGGGTTCGAGTCCCGCGTGAGGAATCGTAGATTCGCATTATTGAGGAGCTCCATAATAAGACGAAACAGACAACCAGTGTTTTCAGGTTTTCGATGGTGGCCTAATATTAATCGACTCATAATCTCCATTAAAAATCATTAATCTTCACAATCCTATGTTGAAAAAAGGACGATTTTGGTATAATGTTTTTTGCTTTTTAGATCAGAAAAATTGTCATATAATCCTTAGGATAAGAATGCAACAGAACGTTGTCACTTCTAAAAACTAGTTCATTGAATAAAGTTTTTAAACAAATAAATAAATTCCACAAATGTTACTGCACAATTATTAAATGTGGTTTGTATGCAAAAATGGAGTCAAAAGAGAGTAATAACGATTAACTATAGATAGACAAGAAGCACAGATCGAATTTACACAATCTAGTTATTTTCATTTCATTTCTTCCCACATGCATAACACATTACATTACAATATGAAGTGAATAATACATTGTTAAGCCTTTTGAAAACCGTAAAAGTTACAAATGATTGATTAATGAATAACGATTAAAACATATCATATTTGTTTAGTCTTTAGTATTGATCGAATTCTATAGAGCAAGATTGTAGGCAAGCGGCTTCGGCTCCAACAGCAATAATCAATTCCCTGTAGACTCAAGGTAGGTTTTAGTTGACGAGTGTTAACCGGCACGAAACTTAAGTAAGGTGGGGTTTTCTACCAACTACCTCTGACCACATAGTACTTCCATAAAGTATTACAAACTAGATAAAGGTATGCTTTCGACCATAAATTTGAAGGGTTTGTTATTATTGAATTTAGAATCAATAGATTGATGGAAATATCATTAATATACTGCTTATTCTAGAAAAAACATTAAATCTTGGTGATCTATAGTTTATAATCTATTCAATCACTTTAATTAAATATCTTAAGTTCCTAAATAACCTATAGCAAGATGTGATGAATCAAGAATCCGTTGCTGATTGAAGTTATGCAAAGGCTCTTAACTAATTCGAGTCACAATTAAAACTTATGTTAGGTGACTGGATATGGTATACAGAGAACACCGATTGAACTAGGTTTCTCGCTATTTCGCACTGGCTAGCAAGGCATAACTGAAATATTGAGGGAAATGATGAGGCTCCAAATACTATAGGGATGATCAGTTCTCTCGAGACTGTAGGTAGGCTTTCGTTGATGAATGCCAAGGTACCTAAGACCTGGGTCAAGTAGAGTTTCTTGTTGATTACTTTCAACCACTAAACATCAAAACATAGTGCAAGCAATGGTGAGTCCCTTAGGCTAGTAGCCATATTGTAACTTAATTGATAAGCACTATGTGAGCCAAAAAGGATTAAACAAACACGATACGAGTCACAAACCAGAGATCAATCAATATTATTTAAACTATACTATTCGAAATCAAACATTATTAATTCATCAACTGTACAGATTATGAAATATTTATTTTTAAACCAAAATTTCATTTCGCTAGATGTATCTATGCATAATTGACCACACGTGCTCCCTTTATGATAAGTTGTTGTGTACTGAACATAAAACGACTTATTTTGTTGATAGAATACAATGCAAGAGCTTATGAAGGTCATGTTTCTAAATGGAATTGAGGGAACAGAAACTCCTCGTCATATTTAATAAGCCTAAATAGTTGAACAAAAGCTACTTAAAACTATAAACAATTTTTTCCACCTCTAAACCATTGATGAATAGAGTTTATAACTGAAACCAAACGATCTTTCCATTTGTGTTAAGCCGACTATAGACAAGTTGATATAGTCAAAATATCAATATAAGTGATGTTCAATCATTCAGAGTAATCCACAGGCACAACATATAAGTCAATATTTAATTGCTAATTTGCCCTATGCCTAAATAACATGAACTATGTATCTTTCAAATGAAAAAAGAGAAGCAATTCAACCATTTTTTTAAAGGACATACCTGTTTGTGATAGAAAGTAAATGTGAGAAAACTCGGGGAAAAAAATTAAAAATGTAGAAACACTTTTTCAACTGGTATATTTTTCTAAGTTTCCAAAGCTCTATGATCGCTTTTAATCGCATAAATAACCATTTGATTTCTATATTTAGACGGACATCTTTTTTATTTGTTTAGAATTCAAAAATCGTAGAGCTGTAGATTTCTAGAAGTTATCTGGGACGTCAACAAGTTATTAGTACCCAAATATTACAAATATATTATTTATTTATGAATCAATTAATGGTCTAAAAGTTGATTCATCTTACTGTAAGTCAGTTGGTCTTACGATGGTAGAATTGATATTCAAATGAGTTTATTTGAGTAAATCCTTCTTTTCATTGTGCTAACTTATTGATGAACTGACTTAGTTAATTAATGTTACCTGTCAAAATATTGATGTCGAAAAAATCAAGATACGTATGATATGTATATATTAAGGGGAGACGGGAAAATATCCAGCCTCTAATAATGAATGTCACTACCATTTAATGGCGTAGTTTGATCTTCTCTTTAAGGCAATTAATCTTAAGGAAATTTCCTTCCAATGGGAAATTAAACGCTTTTAGCTAAATTAATTATTCATTTTAATACCCTTATTGCTTCCTAGAAAATTCTTATTGATAGTGATATAAGCATTGACCCCGTTAACGAAGTTAGTGGTTATATCAACTTGGAAGCTCATCGGATAATACACTGAATTTTATAACGAAAGGAAGTTGTTTTGAATCCAAACGTGAACGTATAAACATTTAAGACAACGCACATCTGCGCCAGGCTCCATGTTGATGATGACTGGATGAAACCAAATGATCTAAAAAAGACCCTTATTATGTGATGAAGAAATATTTTCAAAGGCCAGGAATGAACAGGAACCTATCTTCAGGTCAAGGTAATTTCGCACTTAAAATATAGATATTATGATGGCCTTGTTGAAAAGTTTCTTTGTTCTTAGAATTCTCTACGGTGTCCTAAAAATCTAATATCATACAAGGTCATTGGCACTGATAGTAATAATAACAAAAATAATAGTAACACTATTAATTGTGCACCTGATTCACGTGTGTAGTCTATACCGCTCTATATATATATATATATATATATATATATATATATATATATATATATATATATATAATCTGTATGCGATTATCATTTGGACTTCAGTTGTCCACCCCTAAAAAAAGTAGAATTAATGCCTTTAAATCCCAAGCGTTGTATATTAGGAACGTATGTTTCAATATATCTTGCAGTATATCATAACTAAACGTTTATATTAAAGCAAAAAGATTAAAATACAATAACTATGTTCTGAAATTCCACCGTTCTGTTTTTCTTCGGAGAGAAAAATCCGAAAATTTCTTAGAAAATCAAATAAATGATAATAACTTACATTCACCTACTTTGTTTATTATCTAATCTCGAATAAACGTGTTTACCATCATTTTATAAGCAAAATCAAAAGTCAACATATTTAAACTAGTTACCCATCGTATTTTGAATACTGTTTTTGTCTCTTAGATAAATTCACATGTCTAGATGTATTATGTCTGTACACAATGTCAACAAGAGTATGATGAGTGGGTGTAAATAACTCTTTTTATAACTTGGATCGCAGATCGATTAGCATCGTCTATCACAATACACGCAAACAAATATCCATTAAGATAGATAAACAGACTAACTGAAAATATAGGTAGACATGCTAAATAAAATCTACTCCCATAATTGTTACACCATGCATGTATGAATGGAAACTGAAATGATGTTTATGTTATTCGTCAATTTTATGATGGAATTAAATACTGAGATTTGATCATATGAGACGCCAAAAACAATCTTAAGGGTGATACTGAATATAAACTTAAGAAAAGTATTTTAATGACTTTCATATTTGGCAAATAAGGTCTGTGAAAATATTTATTGGTATGTATTTCTGTTTCAAAACCGATTCTCTTTCGAAGAGCTATCTAATCCAAAACTAACACTGGTAAATAGTTTACTACACAGACTGATTTAGTTTGACAATCATTCAAAATCAGGGAGCAACGGATAGCTGTTTCGTGCTAGGATGAGACACCACAGCAACGAGCATCTAAAACTCTACTGGGAATCGAGCATAGGATCTTTTGGTCTCGTGGCATATGCTTCTCGGTTCTCAGTCGTTGGCTAAATAAGGTTAGTTCGTGACGTAAACTATGAAATTCGGCAAACTTCACGAACACTTACACCGATAATATTAATCAAATTGTATTTCATATTCAGGGTATAAGAACATACAATAATACATACTTAACGTCTTGATTTGTTGTAATCCATTAAGTGTATGCATTTTTATTCCTTTCTTGAAAAAGTGTCCAGTTAACATTGCTACTTACAATAAACAATCTTTTCTATATTTGTATATATAACATTAGTATAAGAACATTGAAACAAAAGAAAAGTATTGTGTTACTAGACAAATCAACGAGAGTTCAACGAAGAAATTTTCTTTTTTGACATTGTCATTTACTAAAGTCGTACCATTTTTAGTCTTAGTTACTTTTACACACAGTAGTCTATATAGCAAAATAGGAAAATGTTGGGTCAGTAACAAAAATATCAAAAGTGAATCAGAAGAATTTCAATTCAAGTAATAGTCAAACAGTTATAAGAATGAAAAAAAAACATATAGAAAAGATAGCTATGAAAATTTGGCAAACAAAAAAGGGAAAAAGAAGAGAATGAACATGTGTCAACAAAGTCTACTTTTTAAGTTCAAAAGTGGTACTATAGTGTCTGGTACTATTGTGATGTGGGTTACTTATATCCACATAAGCAGTATAGAACGGTGGGTCAGGCATAGAATGTATTTCAGTAGAAGGTCGATAAGGAAAGAACGGGAACAGGACGCAATTGGTATGAAAATGCATGAACAATGAAATCTGAGGCAATGGACTGATATTTACAAAAGGAAACAGTCAAGTTTGAGACGATGGATTGATATTTTACAAAGCAACTATTTACTATATGGTTCTCAGAGTTTAGTGAAACAAAAATAAGTTACGGACATGTGATTAGTAAGATAAGAAATGCACATATGCTTATATAAAAACAGTCAAGTTGACAAGCGAATAATTAACAAGGTCAAAATATGACTCAAGAAGAATGAATAAATTGGCCTGTCTAGAAGCTAGAATAAGCTATGCGGGCTTGAATAGCAACCGACACTACAGAATACGGAGATAAATGGAAGATTTATGTTCATGGTATATTCATACGTTCATCCAAATCTGAGTCAGATCAGCTGATTACAAAAGTACATCCAAGTCCCTAATTCATAATGGCACTAACATCATCATCTCAACTTATTTTGTAAGTTATTTTTTGGAACATACTCATTCTTTTATTTATCTTTCTTACATTCATCAAGTAGAAAACTACCTTTTATATATAAATATAGATCATTGAAAACCTGGAAGCACTGGATAGCCGTTTCATTCCAGCCAGGTGCATGTCTTCACAAAATTCAAACCAGACAGAATTAATCAAAACAAAATTCAGAAATTACTTCTGTATACAAAAGGATCTCTGTATATCGTAAACTGACAGAAATACTGAATATCCTTTGAGCTGTTTTAGATCAATAAAACTTAAAAATACACATAGAAACGGTGAAAAACCAACAGTAAATAAGTGAAAACCTACTGCAATTAAATCTTCTGGAACAGCTTTCATTTGAGTCCAGGAAGAGAAAAATTTTGAAAAAACACAATCGAATATATCTTCAAATGATGACAAATTACTTTGATAATGATTAGTATTATTATTTGATTTATTAAGTAAAATTGGATATAACGGCGATGAAAGATAAAAATCCTTATCATCTTGTTCTATGATAATATTTGGTTCATGACTTGTATCTAACAAAGAAAATGGAGTATAATTAGGTAAGATAGATTAAATAAATTGGTTTAATTTTAAAATAAATTTTCTATTCTAGATCGGGAATACTTTACAAAATCATAATGAACAATATAAAATCATAATAAAGACGCTTTTTAATCCAGTTTGAAACTTACAATAATGTACACTAAGAAATAATCACATGATCTTACAACATAATGGATCATTTTCTCTAAAGTATAATTATCATCATCTGGTATCACCAACAAGTATCAATCTTCATTAAAAATTTGAAAAAAGATTTATTCTGAAACTAGTCATTAGTGAATAGTGATCTGTTCAATCAGGGGAGGTTGATAAATAAAGAGACAATTTTTTTAAAGCTTCTTCATTTCCCCTTTAGATCTCTGAATGATATTTTATTCACAATGAATTGTAGTATTCATTCAGTGGAGTTAATACAACTGTATCACGATCATACTTTCGCAGTTATATCACTGGAAATTCAAACTTTGGGTTGTGGGTGTGCGTACTTCTAACTTTGTTTTCGGTAACTATTTTGGAGTTCATATATGATACCACTAACATTTAGTGGTATCTGAATGGTTAGTTCTGCTTTAATCATTGCTATTTTTTATCATACTTCCCAAGATCAGAGTGGTTAGTATACAAACACAACTGTTCTATTATAATTCTAACTTCTTTAAAAACCAAAATTTTCCTGAGTTTCTGTTTTCTTTCTTTCATACTTGGAGTGTCATCTATCTATTTAATTCAAGTAGATCCTATTTTGCATTAGGAGAATCTTGTAATCTTTTGCGATTTGGAGTTACTTTAAACTAATCCCTAAACAGAACAGCTTTCCTTATAGTTAACTTATACACAAAGAAAAATGTCACAGAAAGTCAAGTGATTGCACACGAAGCTTTACATTTGCTCATTGGTTTATATTTACAGTTTATCAACATCAAGCATAGATAAACTACCAAAAACGAAGTACGCATATTTTCCTCTTTCATTACTACTGTTTACTTACCATTAGTTGTAAGCAATTCACACAGCATACTTGTCACAGCATTAGCAGCTTCAATAATTGGAAATAATGGCTTCTTATCAATCAATGATGAAATTGTCGAAGAAGATGATGAAATGGAATAATTACATGAAAAACTATTATGACTATAATACTCTTTCATTGGTTTAAATGATTGTGATAAATTAGATGTTGCTATTAATGAATCCAATGTAAATCGTCGTCCGATAAAATTATTACGTTGATTTTGTATACTATCATCATGTAAATGAGTAGTATGTAATATATTTTGAATAGAATTTGAATCAACAGTGGAAAAATGACGTTGAACACGTTGTTGTGACGACTTACTACTAATTTCATTCACATTATTATTATTATTGTTATTCACATTCAAAGAAGATAATATATTGAGTTCTGATAAATGATACAATTTACAATTATTATTAGTGGTGTTATTGGTTAGATAGGAATTTTTTTGACATGGGTAAGCATAATTAAGCATATCAATAACTTTATTTCTATTTTTCATTGTATAATTATAAATACATTGAAATCCAAGTGTACCTGGTGGTTTTTCAAAATCAGCATATGGATCAGTTGGTATCTAAAATAGTTCAAGTCAATAAAATAATATTAATAGCAAGTAGAGATGAGGCGTTCTACATAAACTAAATCTGTAATAAAAGTAATTACTAGTACTATAGTTATTATTATCATACGTAAATGTAGATGGGTGAAGGGTTGCGCAAGATCATTAACCGATTGAAGTTAGACGTTAACACCTTTGGATACCGGTCCAGTGGTCTAGGGGTTACGCGTTCGCGCGCGAGACCGAAGGTCCTGACTTCGAGTGCTGTGTGGGATCATGGATGTGCACTACTGAGGAGTCCCATAGTAGGACGAAACGGCTGTCTAGTGACCCCAGGTTTATAATGATGGTCTAGCTTAGACTGACTCGCGAATTCATTTGTTTAAATATGTAAATGCATTAGAATGTTGATTATTGAGTAGTTAATACTATTGATATTGATTATCGAACATCGAGGGAATGCACATATGCAAGCTCTCAAAACTACAATTTCAGATCTTAAATAAAGAAAACGGTTTTGTACCTTTATTTATTTTATCGTTCTCTTGTTATTTTCAGTGAATTTTCACTATTCTCATTAAAGAATGTATTTATGCTTATAATTTTAACACAGGGATACATTTAAGATTGTAAATGAATTCGCTGAAAAAGAAACCTTTTGATTGAGCAAACATTTGTTATTTTTATGTCACAATAAGTGAGTTACTTGAAGTTAAAAATGTGGACAGTCGGATGTTAATACTAACTCAATCTGACATAAATGTTAGTAAGGATTAGTCAGTTAATGAGGCTGTGTGTATACATTGCTAAGATGTTTTGAGCTGAAAACGAATGACCTACTCAGTAACTCACAGAGTTTTCAATGTATCACTAGTTGAAGCCGATCTGTGGTAGAAACTACCTTAAAATTCAATTATTCATTACTAACAGGCAAAAGTTATAATCTTTTGATATGTTTTAATGAAACGATGCTAAGTACTTACTGGAGCCTTAACAATTCACAATTCAATAATACAAAAAATCAGGTTTCTATTGCCGAAAACCTATCATTTTGATGTTTGGTAGTGAAAGTAAGTGTAAGTAGTTACTGAGTGTGAATGAACAGACACTCAGATTAATGTCTATTAATTATGTAATTGATTTTCCCCTTATTAGTTTCTGCTCCGAACTCACTGAGAATAGCCTCTTGTAATTATGTGGCATAACTTATTCTCTAGCTTTCATCTGGTTCTCTAATTTTAGCCGTAAATCGGGTATTTGATATAACGTGATCTGGTCTGTATGTTGTGTATCGTTCGAGTACCCGATTTAGTGGTTTTATAAAGCCGGTCATCTGATCCACTCTTATTACCATATTATTGTATTAGCATAGTATAGCACTGAGAGGAAAATATTTTGATTCATCTTTTATATCACGTTCCAAGGAAAGAAAATCACAGAAATGAATTAGACGATATAGGGATAAGTAGAAGAACATACTTATTAACATGAGTAGTGATATTCGTAATCATATCAAAGATGAATAAATCCATTGACGTAAATTTACAAATCCATTACCTCAATCTGCTCTTCATGAGTCTACACTACCATATATATAGTAGTGTACTTCCATCATACCTCTTTGGTCTTTTATAACTTTTTGATAAAAGTATACGACAGATTTTGACAGAAATTATTTTTGCCTTTCAACTTAAATCAGCTACTTATAAAGTTAAAGTTTGCAATGTATCATATAAATTCTTTCCTATAGAATAATGTTACTAACTTATATAAGAAGCATGTTTATGCATAGGACTTTGCTGTACACTGTTTTGATACGTTTAGTACTTTAAATGCTTCAGCAAGTGAATTCCTAGCTGTTTCAAGTCCTTAGAAACTTTTGACTAGTCAACGTTGAACTGATATGTGTCTGGTAAAAGTAAGATGTGATTAGCCACTGAGCATGAATAAATAGGCACTCAGCTTACTAATTATTTACTATGGAATTTTCTTTTTGTTATTAATCTCTACATTTATACTCACTGAGGGTAGATTACCCGTAATTGTATTGAGTAAAGCATTGTCTAGCCCATATAGATAAACATATATACTATACTTTTGGTCCTAAATCGTGTATCTGGTATAACGTGATCCAGTAATCTGTATACAGTGTCAACTGAGTATTCAGCCTCGAGGAGAAAGGTGTAATAACGGTCACATATTGTATTATCGTAAAATAGTAGTATACTGTGGCGACGTATTCCGCCGTTATATCACGAACAGAACAGGAATGATGGAAGACATAAAAGCTGTGCTTCAAAGGTTATCTCCTGTACATAAAAAATAATTTATTAAATTATAAGGAACTTTAGGATCCTAGAAACTTAAGGAAAAGATGTGAAAATCAGTAACGAACTTGGTTTGAACACAAAAAAGAAACCATAACAAGTCTTTTTCTAGATTTTTTAAAGAGACTACAAAAATGGTCTGGTTTTGTAGTACTTTTTTAGTACTCCTTCTGACTTCTGAAGATTGGTTTTAGGAAATTCTCAACGGTACTTAATAATTGTTTGTGCTATGGCTATTCGCAATTTCATACGGGATTCGGAAGCTCAATGCTCCGAAGTGCAAGCTACTAGTTAGAAGCCAAGTGTTTTCTCCACCATAGAATTCCACTAAGATCAGAGCCCAATGATATAAATTATAAAAACAATCACCATACCTTGAAACCTAGTTTAATACACGCTTCTTCAATACATTGTTCAGTTGGATTAATTGTATACTTATCAAAATACACTACTGAACATAGTTGTTTCATTTTTTCAACGGTTTCTTCGGACTATAAATATTAAAGAAAGATAATAATAGTAATAAAAATTACAGTGAAATATCATAACTGACAAACAAAATTTGTTATTACTAACTCAATTATCAGATACAGACTCGTTTACTCAACTTTAAGCCACTCTTTGAGTATGAGGGGTCATACTGAATCGGGTGGAGAGAGGTTTGAACTTGGGATCTCGAGGTTGGAAATTGAACGCCTCAATCACTGTGTCAGCGCTACACTACAGACAAAAAGATAAAAAGTGACTGTGAGTTAGACAGTCAACATTTGAGGCCTTCACCTAATTAGTGTTGTAGGATTTTTCTACAAAAGATTTTGAAACCTACTGAGTATCAATTCGATCTTTCAGAATTACGAAAACCGAAATAAATAAACATTTATAATACTTAGAGTTATGTACAATTCACACTTGATTGCTAGAATATTTGTCAGCAGTTTATTGGATGGTAGTATCAATTCGTGAAGTCATGGATTGTTAATCTGAGTAGTGGTCGTAGGTGCAGACTACGTTGAATGGATAAGATCAATCACTACCATCAGTCGATGCGGATGCTAGATGATAGGGGGGCAGTTGGGTTAAATCTTAGCTCAAGAAATCTTTCCAATTATTTTTTCAAACTCACTAGTTTCTATCTTAGAGTATTTCTTATGTTTAGATTTCTATAAGTTTTCATGTTATGGTTTCTCGCCTTGTTGATTACCCTTCCCAGTCTGTCAAAATTTGAACTGTTACATATTCATCTAGTGTGTTATGGTGACTGAACAGATGGGTCAAAAATTTGAAATAATTTTTATCACGATATAATTTGTAAACGGCAGTGGGATCCAGGATGTGAGTTCCGTCCTATCTTGAACTAGCTAGACAGGTGCATCTGCTCCGCATTGTAGCTAACCACACAAAATTACTGAGCCCATATATTAGTTAAATGGATATTAAATTATTCGGCTATGTTTGTAATTTCCCATCGTTGATATTTCAGACTCCTATAAACTGGTCTCTATCGAAGTTATTGGAACCTGAGCGGATTATCTAGAGATCATATTTTAACCACAAGTATTTATTATACCGGATCCCATTGTCAATCACAATTCAACTATACTCAATAAATTATAATTAAACACCGTTCAGAAATCATACAAGTCAACAATAACTTATCTCGTGTGATATTAAATGTCTGCTATCAGTCAGTCATCTGGAACATAGGAACAGGCACATATATGCATCGGTACAAGTTGCTATACCTCATCAGCACAACAATATGAACACCAAGTTCATAGAAGCAGTTACTTCAGTAGTAATAAAAAAAGATTTCGTATAAGGGTATGATACAGGGAGAAAGAATTACTTCGTAGAAAGAAAGATATGACGTGATTTTAATCTCATGGTTTAAGGGAAGATAGAGAGCGTATACACCTATGCCACTGGGATCGATTCTGAGCGATATCACCCACAGTCTCCAGCCACTGTTTACGATGGTCGCGCGGACCCCAACCAGGTAGTCTCCATCTACCAACATGGCTAAGACCAGAAGTTAGTGACTTTATGAACTGATGCTACGTTTTGATTTAGCCACCCCTAACTTTCTCCCATCTGTCTCCAACACTAGTCAGCATTGTGCACCATGGTAGTCGGTGGTTGGGTATGTGTAATACGTGGATCAACCATCTCAGTCGATGTAGATTCACAACCTGATCAACTGATTTACCATCATTCCCTCACATCCTGCGTCTAACCTCACTATCACTTACCCAATGATCCCAGCAGATGCGTGCAATATTTCTAAGACATCTATGATCAAATACCGTTAACTTACGAATATTAGCTATGAAAAGAATGAAAAGAGCATCATAATTAGGATATTTAATACAACTGAACTTACTGTACGAGCCAATGGCGTTTTCATTCTGGTTAATAATAAACTATTAACTAGTTGTTGTACTCGACATACTGAAATTAGTAATTGGATACTGGATTGTTTAATGTTATAACCATTATTAGTAGTATTAGTAGTACTGCTATTATTACTCAATCGGTGTGATAATATACGTTGATGTGGTTCTTGTTCAACATTATCAATACTGGGACTGTAAATATTCATATTATTATTGTCATTATTACTCTGGAAGCATTCTGTTTTACATAATGCATCATTTTCAAGAAAATTTGAAAAATCTTTTAAAAAATTTAACACCACAGTATTTTCAGAATTATCATCAGATGATGGTAAACATGAGCTAAATGTTTCCATCATTGAATAATCAAAATGATATTTCTTTCGATAATATAAATTGATTATTAATTCCCAAAGTGAACGATCGCGTAATTCTGGAATCCACTTTAAATTAAATAAAAATATAAGATGGAGTAACGGATAGGAAAGGAAGTTTAAATAAAGTAAAACCAAAAGTGAATAAAGGGGATTAAGTGATAAGTTGAGTAAAAAACTTTATAAAGCGAACTACGAAAAAATACAAATTCATCCGGTAACTTAATTATTAAAAATCAATTAATTCAATATTTGATTGCGATAAAGAATTCTCAACAAGAAATAACATTTACTTCACACTGACTATATGTCCAATTCATAATTTCTAAATGTAAACTTCTCTCACATTTCTTCGAATCACATAAGGAAAGAATAAAGTATCAACACCACTTTGATACTATAACAGTTGGAATGTTATTATATTTAACTTTACAAAACGTTGTACACATGAAACATTGAGAAAGAATAACAATTTAGGAAGCTTCAACAAAATAAAATTCAATAATATCACTATATTTTCAATAATTATTTGCAACTCCAAATGAAATCAAATAAAGAATAATCCATGTTTTGGGGAGGAAAGATGAAAATTCATCCATTAGGTTGGAATTTAATGATACATTATTACCAACCTCAGTTAAATTCTGATACAGTACAATGTATATCTGATGTTGCCAGTGTTAAAATGTAAAAATCCAGCATTATTTGAATTCATAGGTTACAGTTTCCTAACATAATCATCTGGTTATGTGGTTAACAGAGTTTTCTATAGTTTTACAATAGCTCTTGTCAAAAAGCCAACATCAAGGGATGAAATACCATGAATAAGGAAGTATTGAACATAGACCCCACTAATAATAACTATCTTCTACAGTAGATATAATACGAAATAAGTTTCAGATACTATGAAATTCTTATGACAATGATTAAGGTACTGGGGGTATCCGGATCGTCTAAGATACTTGCAAATTAAGGAGCGAATGAAGTATTTTGAAACATACGGTTTTATTGAGGACTCTATAACGGCACACAACACTCCAACTACTATCCACAAACAAATTAAGAAAAAAACTTGACACTCAACCAGAACAATTTAAAATGGTGCAACTTAATGTATATACTTACGAAGGCATGACCTAAATTAGCGAAACAAAAACAATACCGGTCAATCAGAAAACGGCATAGGTTATGCGAATAACCGGATTATAAAAAAGCGCTCGCGGTTAGTGTTTTTAGTATTACTCCAATATCATTAAAAATACTGAGTGGTTCCATCAACTGAGTACACACTAATCACTTTCTTAGTGAAAACATTGATGTTTTGCCATTGGTTTCGCTTCTCAATTATATGTCATATTAGTTCTTTTAATAATTTTACCAATTACATCACGACATACTTTACCTCAGTCTGCAATTTTGTGATTTTAGCCTCTCTTATGACTGATCGCATTAGATTTTTTAGAATGACCTACATTAGAATCATCTGAATAATTATGTGATGAATAAGTAAGAACTTCTGGGATTGACAGTATTGTATGAATGTTGCGTGATATGAGAGAAATGAATTCCTGAGGTATGAATTTGTATTTTGATGTACCCTTATCTCTTTTACGATTAGACTAATCGATAACGTATTTCTAACCATTCAATAGAAAGCCCATTCTATGATGAATAATAACCGTCAACTTCAATGGAGTACCTATCTTACAAATCTTGTCACTCGCGTCATGTCATTTCAAGCTGAGAGGCGGAGAATATTTTTCGAGAGATATCTGTTGGCGTTGATCTTCCAACAGAAGGAGTGTTTCCCAAACAATAAACAGTTTATAGAAATCAAACTTCCTGTCATTTCATTATCTACTATAGGCACCAGCAAGAGAATGACTTTTATTATTAAATACGTGTGCAGAACGAAACGATATTGGCAGCTGCCAAAAACGTCTTTATCAACATGGCTATTTTTCTCCAAATATCCTGTATATAATAAATTAGGTAAGCTATTGATTGTGGATGTCGGGTCGTTCGTTCATTTTCGTCTGGGGGATGGTCGATGGTTAGCATTATTAACTTGACATTTATTGTAACATAATGGTACCCGGGGGCTTGAAATGTGTTCAGAAAATTATTATGTACCACAGTGAACATTCATCATATGACAATTCACATAATTTTGTAAAATATTGAGACGCATATAAAATTTTACATTTTAGCAAATAAATTAAATTCGAGATAGTGGTTAAACAGTTCGACACTCCCACGAAATGAATGTACTTTTTCATTTACAATCACTAGGACTAATAATAATAATAATAATTATTATTATTATTATTATTATTATTATTATTAGTAGTAGTAGTAGTAGTAGTATTAGTATTAGTATTAGTATTATTATTATTATAACCATATGATAACATTGATGATAAAATATACATGTAAAATTATGAACCAAAATTCATGAGATGTACGTCGTAATCGTTCAAGAATTAGCCTTTTTACGAATTCCGTTTCATCTATAGTATAAAATAGATTAACTCAACCTTCAGGATTTAGGTCTAAGTCAGTATTAATGTGTTTTGGGAACTAATGTTACTACGAACCTACCTAACAATTTATATAAAGTAGACCGTTATCAATTTTGCATAACATAATTGATCATGACGAGTAGTGCATGGCAGAATAAAATCAATTAAATTTATTGATTTTGTCATTAGAACAGACCTACTTCTCATAAAAAAATTTGAATCTCGTATCAGTAACAGTATCCACTCAAAAGTGTCGATAACATAGTATGAAACAGGGAAAATATCACACTGTGTGTTCTATCTAAATAAGAATAGTATACTTAATGTTTTGGATTCATTTCACGATAATTTTGTCAGTTGCCGTAATATCGAAGTTATACACACAAAAAATGAAACATTCAAACTACTTACTACAAATTGAAATACTTTTAATAAGCCATTACACAATAACTATTAAATAAGTATTCTAGAGGCGGTCGAAAAGAAAACTGAACACTGATATCAGAATGGGTTTTGTGGAGATTTTTAGAAATTTCACTTGTTGAAATCATGAGTCAATTGAAGCTAGACCACCATGGAAAACCTGGAAGCACTGGACGGCCGCACTCCTAAGGAGTCCCATACTAGAATGAAACGGCCGTCCAGTGCTTCAATTGACTCATGATTTCAACAAGTAAACACTGATATGCCCATTGCTGAGGTCAGCGATGACTAAGATGAAATATTTCTAGTTTCTATGCATTTATATAAAGTCACATTGATATGATGGAAAGAAAAGTCAATTTTCGATTGATTGACTCATTATGAGTTTTGTTCAAGATTACTTCCGTTTTGATTCAATGTAATGATTACTCAATGTACTATTTGCTTTCTTTTCTCGTATGATATTTTATTATGTAATAACATACGATATTCTTGTATTCCATTGACATGAATTATGCTTAGTCTGTGATTTCTTATAACTCTAAGTATTTTTTCATATATGTGATTTCATCCTCATTATTAATCAAAATGGATGTACAATCAATATATAAATGAGTGTGTTATCTACTAGAGTTTTCATCGTCGTTGTCATAGTGTTTTGGGGTTAATAAATCACTTATATCAGTCTTTGTGTTCTTACTTTCGCGAATCGCAGAGGTTCCTCGTTTCCGACATAACAATCAGCGATGACCAGATACAAAAAGTAGCATTAAAATAGCCAAGACAAGTAATCAAAAGACAAATTATAACACACAGTAATCAGTATAAAACAATTTTCAAATTCAATTCGAAATATAGTTATTATCTTCCTTCCATTTTATATATGACCAATAAATGTCAAACAGTTCAATTCAAATAAGAATTGTCACACAGCTCCACCACTTAATAACCACACACAAGGTCAATGGCTCTTAAATGTCTAAATAACTAACTGACTAACTAACTAACTAACTAACTTCAATATCACTTGCACAAATATACACACATTAATAGATTGTTCACAAACAATAAATCAGATATTATCCTACATTTGTCACAAATATACGCAACATTAACCAAATTCATTCAACACACAAATCAATAGCTTAATAGAGATTCAACTTTTCGGTCCACTGAAACGAAGTTATCTAATCATGGGACGATTTTGTCGAGAAATAAATTTAGATTCAACTAAATTCCCCGTTGTGCTTTGGGCTACATGTAACACTATTCAATCACTTACTATTCCGAGTGTTGCTTCTTCCTATCACACACTTACTGACTACACAGAACACTATTGTTTATATTTAATAAAATAATAACTGATACGATACATACTATTCAAATTAATGTGTCAATTTCAATTAACTAGGATTAACAACAACAACAACAACAACAACAACAAAAACCCATTGCATATAGTCACCATATTCGATTAACGAAAAGTGAAGTCACACTAAAAAAATAATCAAAAACAGTGATCAAGAAATAAGATACGTGTCCGAAAAGCGCTAGCGCATCCATTCCTCAATATTCAATATGTGTGCAATGACAACGATTTCCAGTCAATCTCCGTCCATTCACTCACTTCATCTTCCGTATAACACATTAATATTCACTGATAATTTCATTTCAAACTATACATTTCACTTGATTTACCATTTCCATCACATAACTTGCGATGGTGATATATTCAGATTGAAGTGTCAATACAAGATAGCTTGAAATGATTCCAATCAGATTTCTAGGCAACACCCACAACCAATAAATTAACGAAAATAATGCTTACAAGTGATCAGTTTTCGGACTTTACTGAACACACTGATGAACATCACTATTAATCAGTCTTCCACCATATTCAAATGGCTTTTCGAAAATTCATCAATCATTTCAATAAAACGAAAGAAATCGAGAACGATTGGTAATCATTCGAACTATTTACGAAAATCCGCTGTTATATAAAACAAAACAAACATCATTTATTAACTAAATAGTCAGTTTTAAAAATACGAAAATAATCAATTATGCTTAATATGCAGTAGTGGTGAACTATAAGGAAACTTAATGAGCAAACCCAAATTCCATAGGTTAATGAATGACTTATCAAGCTCATATTTAACAACCATCTATGTCTCAAACGAATTGAAGTTAGTGGCTATCTGGACTTGTAATTTATTGGGGAATGTGTTTGTATCTGAGGTGAAAGTTACTGGGTACGACTATATTAACAAAGGATTATCGGGAAGAAAAACGGATGTAACAAAGCATACTCGCACTAATACACATGTAAACAGAAGGTAATGTTTGAACAAATTCAAAATATTGAACATATTTCACCTAGGTATATTTCTAATACAAACATTAATGAAAAATATGAAACTATAAATGAATTCAATAGTTAGATAAACGAAAGTGTAAAAGCAAAGATAAATATTAAAAACTCACTTCAGTAAATTGTATATTTTCAAAAAACTGATGTATTAAGCATATCAAATGACCTTGTTGTTTCCCATAATAAAATATAACATATAAAAATTGCATAATAAGATTTTGTATTTCACATCGTAATGTTTCCAAACGGATTGAATTATAATTCACAGTAGATTTATAACCAACAATGTTTGATTGAATTCTACAAAATGTACGTATACAAATTTGCGATCTTCAATTTTTAAAATTTCTAACTTAGCTAACTAGTTATTAATAGCTTTAAAAAGGGACAGTTATTTACTTCAGACAATGAATGAAGGGTTGCATAAGATCATGAATTTATTGATGTTAGACATTAACACTGTTGGATGTTGACTCAACGGTCTAGAGTTCAAGCGTTCGTGTACGAGGCCGAAGGTCCTAGGTTCAAGTCCCGCATGGGTGATCGATGGTGCGCACTGCTTAGAAGTCCCACACTAAGGTGAAACGGCAGTTTCTTATGATAGTCTAACTTAGGTCGATTCATGAACTCAACTATTAAATTACTACAATCTCCACAAACCCCCATTCTGAAAATATGATTAGCTTAATAATACCGCCATATACCTATAAGAAAGAATTAAATTCGATCCAACATAAGAGTATAAATTAAAATTACTCACGAGTTTGCCATTGGAATGGAGGAGAAACAATTGTCTGATATTTAGAAATTCCTAATGTTTCTGTGGTGTGTGCTACTTATTCTGACAGATATAAGTAGCATGTCACACTAATCAAAAGTCGAATGCCTATCAGTATAAGATTGAGAAAATTGAATTAAAGAGAACAGGAAGTGAAATAGAGAGTAACTGGAAATAAGAACAGAATTATACGAATCATGAAATATATAAGGGACAATTGAAAGAAGATGTGTAATTTAATGCATGGTTTTCATATTTTACAAAGACACTCATTCTGCATTACATAATAATTTAGTTTTCCCCCATCTAAGTTCTCATTCACTACAGTTTCTCTACAAGGTTTATGTCAGTGTTCAGTGTGAAGTTGGATTTTTATATACTTAAAAATGTACTGAAACAACCTGACTGTAATCAAAAGAAACTTTTTTTAAAAAATTTGATCATAGTAACAACATTTGAAACTTACATTTTTAATAAATCCAATACAAATCCTTGTTCCGTTTGTTTAGTAACATATTGAATATGTACAGGACTAAATAGTGTAATATTAATTTGAATAAATGGAGGAAAAGAAAAAAACTTATTGCATAATATTTAGAAAAAAAAATAGAAAATTATTATCAAAAGAGGCTTGTGAAGATTTTAGAAATTTCACAGACTGAAATCATGAGTCAATTGAAGCTAGACCACTATGGAAAACCTGGAAGCACTGGACGGCCGTTTCGTTCTAGTATGGGACTCAGCAGTGTGTATCCACGAGTCCGCTCCCCGCTCCCCGCGAGACTCAAACCCAGTACCTATCAGTCTCGCGCCAAGCGCTTCACCAACTAGACCACCGAGCCGGCATCCAATGGTGTTAATGTCTAACTTCAACCAATCCACGAAGTTGAGCAACCGTATACCATTGTCTTCAGTAAGCTGATATCTCACAACAGACGTGGTGGAACATTAATACCATTGGATGCCGGCTCAGTTGTCTAGTTGGTGAAGCGCTTGGCGCGAGACTGATAGGTACTGGGTTCGAGTCTCGCGAGGAGCGGGCTCGTGGATGCACACTGCTGAGTCCCATAGTAGAACGAAACGGCCGTCCAGTTCTTCCAGGTTTTCCATAGTGGTCTAGCTTCAGTTGACTCATGATTTCAATCTGAGAAAATTATTACCACTATAAATGATAAACGAAGTTAGCAGTGACTTACGTCAAGTAGAAATGTAAGCAGATTATATGATATTTCAAGATCATACAAGTAAACAAAGATCCAAGTTTGTATGTTAAGTTATCTATGAGTAGGTGAGTTATGAATCCAGCCAAAGTGTCAATCTTGATATGATTTTTTTGCCAACCTGGCAATCAATAAATACTCATGAATTGAACAAACTGACATTTAACTTCTGAAGAGAAAGCTTCATTTTTTTTAAAAATTCCCCTCATCTTATTCAGCATTGTTAGGGTCAGTAACAAGAGTAAGTTATCTCTATTTCTATCGACAACATCTAGAACCACCATTTAAACATTCCACACATTCTAAACACCAAATATTTGTTTATTTTTTCATCCTTCTGGCTTAATAATATAAATCGTATTAAGTGTTAGCAAAATTTTAAAATACATCCCAGTGACATGACTTATGATAGGATAAAGAAAACCCATATTCTTAAAACGATAGAAATGTTTAGCTCGGGTGAATGTTTTAGCATGATTGTGTTGTCTGAGTTAGATGACTTAACTGTAGAGTTTCTGCATCAAGTAGCCACTGATGATACTATCCATAATGCTAATAATAACCTTAGCAATTAAACCATATAACTTAGAGAATACAACACCACTAAAACCCATATTAATATTACTCACAATTTCTTATTATTTACTAACAGTAATCAATATACATCATAGCAACAACAAATTTTATACAAACACAAATGCCACATACAAAAAAAGACAAATGGATAAAATATAAACACTAATTATTCTTACTAGTCTGTAATTATTTTTAATAATAACTTCATTTCATTTAGCAGACACTCTAAATTAGTTTCTTTCCTACAATGTTCAATTATCTAAAAATGGAAATTTATTAAATAAAACTGAATACACAAGAAACAAAAATAAATTAAAACAAAAAGATATTCATAATCAATTTTTTTCGGGGGGGGAGGGAACATAATTATTGATGATGGTTGTTATTTTATTAAGATTAAATTTTACAGATTAGATTGATTTAAGGCTTATAATGAACAACCTTATTATTATTATTAATATTAATATTATTATTATTATTGTTTCGATGAGAAATGAATATAAAATCTCTGTAAATGATATTCAATAAGACCAGGGATTTAGAGAAACTATGTGGATGATAAATGAATGACACCAGTCTAATGTTGTAATTGGTAGTTGACAGTGTTTTAGATAAGTAGATAGATAGACAGATAAGTAGACGGACATTTAAGCTACTGAATAGACAAACGAATAATGAACAGGTGTCTTTTTTGTCTATTTTTCAATATAGTCAATAATTAGTTGAACAGCTGTCATATCACATATAATGTAAGTGATTCGTACAGTTTTGCACACTCACACACACATTTATGTACATACATGGATGTATTTCCGGAAATTAATATTGATCTGTTATTATGAACAAAAAGAACTAACTGAATTATCAGTAAATGGTTCAAGTTGAATAGCACTAAATTGTACAAGTTTATCTTATTGATTCTTAGTGGTTCTGCGGTGCATGCTACTTATGCTAACAGATATAAGTGGTATGTAACACTATTATTATTCCATACTCTCTTCGTTAATTTTCCTTGACCCCCTCCCATCTACTTTTTCCTAAATATACGCTTCATTGTTCAATTGTCTGAATCGTTCTTATTACATAATCTTGAAGTTTTTATGAATGTTATTCCAACATCCATATTTTTCACACCGTTGACTTAATTCCCATTATGAAACATTGATTCAAGAGTTGATTGTTCTTATCACAATTAGTACACTGTCGTCTCATCATCAATTTATACTTTTTACTTATTATGTTTATTTATGTGATCTATTCCACTGTTATCACTGACTCATAAACTGCCTTGGTTGGTTTAATAATTTCGTATATGCATATAAATATTACTGTATATTGGAGTAAAGCCTGATGATGATCTAATCGAAAACAATGTCATTCACTTATATGTGTTGTTCTAATTTCATATTACACAACTGAAAATTCACTAAGAGTTGTCAATTACTTGGAATATCACATAATAAGCAAATAAATATAAATAATATAAATATAACATACACATCAATACATCATTGGTAGACAATGTATGCCTTAGCGGTTATTTCTACGGAATTGAAATAAATACACTAAGTTACACTTGGAACATTACATTGAAGGAATGTGGGTTATTGAAGAATAAGATTATATTGAGTGATGTGAGAAATGATGTCAGAAAACTGATGCTTTCCAATTCCCAACACTAATTATTTACCATTATACCATTCATCCGTTCACAGAATGGTCAAAATCGCACGATACCGTAAACGAAACTATTACTACTGATGAATCCAAATAAAAAGAACACAAACAAAGTCGAGTGCTTTCAGAATTTAATGATACCGGTTTCAAATTTACAGTTATCTAATTGTCATAACAAACATAGTGACAACCCTAAGATGTAAATATTCGATTGAGTGTACAACTTAATTGAATTAATGAAGATAAGTATACTCTTTAAATCAATTCAAAATAATGCTTATCATTAAGAAAAATATTATCACTATAAACAATAATTAACTTAAGCACATAAAAATCAATCAATCAATCAAATAAGTAAATCACAAACTGACCACAGATAAAAATTCATCCGATACTAATTGCCAACTGAAAAACTCTTCTATTCCATAAACATTCTTCATTGGTAGAATTGTTGATGAGTACTGGATTTGGTTAATATTTTCATCTTGTTGAATTAACATTTCTTCAGATAAATACTTTTTAGAATCATTATTTTCTTGTGTAAAACAAACTTCATGAGGATATAACTTTATATTATTATTGTTATTATCGTTATTCAGAGCAGTATTACTTATAGTAAATCGATTAGTTATAGCGTAATTGGATAATTCAATTAGACAGGATAAGAGATATGACCAAATTTCATCATGAAACTTTTTATCCAGTTTACTGTTTAGAAAAGAACATCAAATACAATAAGTAATAATAATAATAGTAATAATGTAACATTGGAATGATTACTATTAAATGAGTCTCATAACCATAAGGATAATGATTGAGTAATTTTATAATTATCGAAAAAAATCAAAACTATAACACCATAGATGGTAATAGCCTTCATTTTGAACATTATATCAACTCGGTGATTACAATAATAGCTAAATTTAATGCGTATTAACAATATACTGATGTAATCAAATTGTGATGTTGTCGTTAATTTTTAAAATCGTAATTATTAACCAGTTATCTGGGTTTTTTTCTAGATATGGTATTGATATATCTAACAGTCAAATACTCGACACTAAGGTTCTAACCACTCCTTAGTCACTCAGAAATCTTCTACGCATAAAAACTCTTTCTACTTCCAATTTAGAGTAGGTATAGAAAACAAGGATATTTATAGAATTACGTATGGTCTTGATAATATTGAAGCTTTTCGAGACATGACAAAATTCATTTTGTATTGTTTGTTCGAGTCTTCCTATTGATGTTTAAGACTGTAATTCATCAGTCTCTCATTTACATATATGCATCCTGTACGGATTACCTCGATATGACGAAATTATTAGCAAAATTTAGGATCATCAAATGACGACATGATACATTATTCACAACTTTTAAAAAACTTCCTGGAGAAGTCCAGACAAGTCAGCTGGATAAAACGTTGGAATTATTCAAATTTCAATCGCTGAGATTATTTCAAATATAATTTTCACATATAGTAACTTTCTGAGTAGTTCCAAAGACATTTCATAAGAAGTTGTAAGAACTTTACACGTAGATAATCATTTTTAACCAAACATGAACATGATTTAAGGATGAAATCCCTGAATTCACGCGTTATGAGCAATCCAACACTACAAACTAAGCTTTTATGAAAATCTGTTATGTTATCATATTTTAGTGGTGTTGATTAATTCAAGTTAACATAAAATCTTTCTATTGATTCATGAGTCGATTTAAATCAGTTAAAGACGGAACATTAGTAATCAAAGAGCTGTAAATAAATTATTACTCGGATTGAAGTGTAAGTTATTTATGACTCTAATATATTAGAAAGAGCCTTGGACTCATGACATTAAAGCAGTTTTACGGACTTTCGTAAAAATGTACAACAGATAGTGGCTGCGCGTCGCTGAGGAGTTCTATACTAAAACGAAACTGCCGTCCAGTGCTTTTGGGTTTCTAATGATGGTCTAAAATTAATCGGTTCATGATTTCAATTAAAACTCAACAATCTGCACGACTATATACTGATAAATATTAATAAAGTCTGCTGGTATGATAATGTACATAGGTCCCTAAGATTAACATTCGTAAACATTTTCAATAAATAACATTAGCTACTTATATGTTAAAAAGTAGTTTACAAAAATATTCAAATCTCTTTCGCTTGGGTTTGCCCAAATAAGTAACGTTACAGGGAATGCATAATCACATTTTTATTTACTTACAAAATAAAAGACTGAGAACGCTAGTAATACAATTTTAGTAGTCTATATATATATATATATATATATATATATGCATGTGAAACTTACTCAATGCATTCAACAAGTTGGAAGAGTTTACGATGACCTTCACATTTAACAAAATCTCTGTTAAATTGTTTACATTGCAAAACAATGGCTAATTCCATCAGTAACTGCTTAAATGGTCCATACAAATGATGTAATGGGTTACAATTACTATTAACAAATGTATTAGTAGTAGTATTCCTATTATCAACTAAACAATCCAATGCTTGATTCAAATTTGAAATAAACTTCTCCACTGCTCTACTCTATTTAAGTAAATAGACATATAAACAAAATTAAACAACATTTATCAAATGTTAGATACAACGATATTAAGAAATCGTATTGAAATTTTTCAAAATCAATAGTTTAATAAACATTAGGTGATTTCTTTGTATTTTTTCTAAACACAATGGACCTGGGATTAAAATGTGAGTGACTTTATCATGTGTATATGTAATTAGAAATCAAGACTTCACTAGACCGAATATATATAAACTCGTACTAATGCTTCTCGTTAAATTTACACAGACAGATTTGTCTAATTTGGTTTGAGCTGTAAATAACAACAATAATTCAATAACTTACTGTGTGAACACCATATTATACAATTGAACATCTATAATCCTTTTTAAAATGTGAATACATGATAAACAAGATTGTAAAAGATCACTTTCATATGTAATCCGAAATCCAATCGATTAGGCTATTACTCGTCAAATCAGAGGTAATTTAGTGAAGCATTTTTAAATGTATATGTTATATTCACTACAGATTACCATTCAAAACCAAAGAACACTAGATATCTTTAATTTCGTGAAAGATGTTAGTGAAGTTCTAATGACCAGTTGCAAGTGGTAAAGCTCACACACGACGAGTGTAACAGTTGCTATTAATAGCATTGGACAATAGTCGTGCTACATCGCAAGTTGATTAAAGTTAAAACTGTACCATTAGATCCTGACCCAGATGTTATAACAGTTAAGCGTTCGCAGCAATACCTGAAGTTCCTGTGTCTTTTACCTGATTGAGTCGTGAGTTCACATTGCTACAGAGTCCTACACGAGAGTGAAACGGTTATCCAGTGCTCACTGGTTTCCAATCGTACCCTTTGAATAATACAAGCTACAAATTAAACTAACTACATAAAATATTTATAACTTTAGACGTTCAAAATATATAAAAAGTTTGGCAGGAGCATAATAAGAAATCTGATTAATTTAAATAAAACAAAACACATAAACCACTTTTGGTGATAATAAAAAACTCAAAAAGGAATGCCAAATAAAGAAGAACTATTCAAATATCTTCAGCATAATGTTATATCACATGAGAAATCACTGTAAAAATGAAGAGCTTTAGACAGTTGTTTTGTTCCACACTTCCTGAACCCGTAAGAAGTATGCCCCGCATTGATCAAATACATGGTCGATTTAGAGAAATTCGGGTCTGACGGCAAGGGCTTTAATTTAAGAAAGTTTAGCGGGATTTCAACGATTAACATTTTTGTATTCAGTCGATTTGCAATGAAGAATGGTTATTATCAAATGTAGCTATTAATACTCAACATTACTTAAGAATATGTAGTCAGACAGTCGAATGGTCAGTTTAAAATACCTAACGGGTATAAGCATATATATATAATCCTAAGTATGACTGAAAAACCAGTTTCTCACTTCCAGAAAAATGACAATGTAAGCATACATCCTATGAAGCTAAGGTTGCCATTTTAATTAAAGTAACCTATCCATGCACACATACATAACATGACTGAGGTGAAAAGGGGAATAAAATTAAGTAAACTTCGGGTATCAGTCATAAGGTATATATATGAATACATTAATAATGCAAAATAAAGGGAAAAATATACAACCAATACAATCTAAATAATGGAAAACATCCAGTCAGTCCTTTCTGTTGTTAAAGGATAATGAGCTATCAGAATATCATTTCAAAAAATTAAATACAAAAATAATTATGTTTGGTGTTTAGAGGCAATCAGTAGGAAACGTTGAACCTAAGTTTCGTGTTAGTTGGTAATTGTCTGTACGTCGTAACTTCAATCTTGATCGATAGATTCTGATTAACATTAAGGACTAGGCAAACATGATACTTATCAGAACTCAGAGATTAATAAATTTCTCAGTCCTACAGGAGGTCGGTTTCTAACCAAATCGCTAATTAACGTCTCAAACAGTCGAAGTGGGTCATGTGGTTTTGAACCCTAGTGGGATTTTCAGTTCCATGAATATCGAAGGTCTTTTGTAGAGACGAGTACCAACCAGGACGAAATTCATTCGCAAGGTTTCTTATCGGCTCCCTCCAACCACCTAACATATCAATAAAATGTAAGGGATGTCAGATCACTTACACTAGTAGCCACTACAAACTCACAATAAACAAAAGATAAGGATTCATTAAATTTTAGTCAATCTACACAATCCTCAGCTTCATTCTACTAAGTACTTGGATAATACGGTCATTGAATATATGAATGCGACCAAGTTATAGATATTAAGTAATTAATGTTTTCCAAACATTTCTAATATGTAGTGGAACCCATATGTAGGTTAATAAAATTCAGACTACACACACGGTACTAAATAATAAATAAATAAACAAAATACATAATAATCCGTGTCGCATAGAGACAGGTATCTACTTCAGTACAACGGAAGATGGTCGCGTGATTTCGTGGATTATTTGAAGTTAGACATTAACACCATTGAATGCCGGCTCAGTTGTTTAGTAGGTTAAGCGTTCGCGCGCGAGAGTGAAGGCCCCGGGGTTGAAATCCCGCGAGCAGAATCGTGGATGCGCACCGCCGAGGAGTCCCACAATAGGACGAACCGGCCGTCCAGTGCTTCCAGGTTTTCAATGGTAGTCTAAAATCAATCGGTCTATGATCTCAATAAAAAAAACTTAATAATCTCCACAACCCCTATACTGATAAATAATATAAACCAATTGGCAAAATTAGGTATGCTTTCGATAAAAGGTAGTGTAGAAGAGTTATACACACATGAGCTATACAAAATAACGCAGTGACAGTTTAGGAAAAAGGTTATAAATTCTTAAGATATGGTTAGAGAATAATGTAATTGACAAGTGATGAAAAAATGTGCCAAAATTTTAGGGCTCCTGGCTAAAAGTTTTCACAATCTCAATTCGTATAATTATACCAAACATAAAAAGTAAACAGCTTGTAGTTTGTAAAGTTACAAATTTGATCACATCCTCACAAATATATGGGATATGATTGCGTTTCTTATCAGAACAGAAAGAAAAAAATATGCTATTTATGTGTATTATATGAGAATGAAATAACTGTTCATTGCCTTGGAATCCACGTTGAATACTTCAAACAATTCAGTGAACCTACAGCGTTGAGCCAGTTAAAATTCATTCACAAGGTATATTTATTATCTTGAGTAAATTGGTGGTTATGCACAGATTCAAAATGATACACCCAGTGTTAACGTCAGAGATGGCTAAGATGAACTATTTCTAGTTTCTATTCATTTGTAAAGTCACACTAATCAGTATAAAACAATTTTCAAATTCAATTCGAAATATAGTTATTATCTTCCTTCCATTTTATATATGACCAATAAATGTCAAACAGTTCAATTCAAATAAGAATTGTCACACAGCTCCACTACTTAATAACCACACACAAGGTCAATGGCTCTTAAATGTCTAAATAACTAACTGACTGACTAACTAACTAACTAACCAACTAACTTCAATATCACTTGCACAAATATACACACATTAATAGATTGTTCACAAACAATAAATCAGATATTATCCTACATTTGTCACAAATATACGCAACATTAACCAAATTCATTCAACACACAAATCAATAGCTTAATAGAGATTCAACTTTTCGGTCCACTGAAACGAAGTTATCTAATCATGGGACGATTTTGTCGAGAAATAAATTTAGATTCAACTAAATTCCCCGTTGTGCTTTGGGCTACATGTAACACTATTCAATCACTTACTATTCCGAGTGTTGCTTCTTCCTATCACACACTTACTGACTACACAGAACACTATTGTTTATATTTAATAAAATAATAACTGATACGATACATACTATTCAAATTAATGTGTCAATTTCAATTAACTAGGATTAACAACAACAACAACAACAACAACAACAAAAACCCATTGCATATAGTCACCATATTCGATTAACGAAAAGTGAAGTCACACTAAAAAAATAATCAAAAACAGTGATCAAGAAATAAGATACGTGTCCGAAAAGCGCTAGCGCATCCATTCCTCAATATTCAATATGTGTGCAATGACAACGATTTCCAGTCAATCTCCGTCCATTCACTCACTTCATCTTCCGTATAACACATTAATATTCACTGATAATTTCATTTCAAACTATACATTTCACTTGATTTACCATTTCCATCACATAACTTGCGATGGTGATATATTCAGATTGAAGTGTCAATACAAGATAGCTTGAAATGATTCCAATCAGATTTCTAGGCAACACCCACAACCAATAAATTAACGAAAATAATGCTTACAAGTGATCAGTTTTCGGACTTTACTGAACACACTGATGAACATCACTATTAATCAGTCTTCCACCATATTCAAATGGCTTTTCGAAAATTCATCAATCATTTCAATAAAACGAAAGAAATCGAGAACGATTGGTAATCATTCGAACTATTTACGAAAATCCGCTGTTATATAAATTATTATTATTTTATTATTTGAACACATAAATATTGGTACAAGAGAGCGCCAATATATATGCGCCACACAAAACAATGGGAATTCGAAGAGAAAAAAAAAACTAAGGAACGCAAAAGAAAAAGAGAGTAATGACGAAGAGGTACAATCAGAAGAAATCTTTCAGGTAAAGGAGACACAACCACTTTTTATGAAGAAAGTAAAAGAAGGTTACAGCAGGATCGCCGCTGGCTTCTATTCTGAGCCATATCTGATAACGTCTCTAGCCACTGTGTAGCACCATCTCTCGGACCCCAGCCAGGGAGTCGTGAAGGACCAACACAAGCCAGTCCTTTGCAGCTTTCTTTCATGCCACGACACCATGTCATGCACTGACCACCTCTCCGCTTCTTCCAACCAGTCCCAGAGTCGGCAAATAATGCACGACGTGGAATTCTCTGGGACGACATTCGGAGAACATGTCCAAGCCACCGAAGTCGGTGTTTCAAGATGGTGACACCAATTGAGTTATCATCTCTGTGCCCGAACACACGATGCC